TGTTTTACATGCAGAGAAAGGACCTCCATCAGCCGACCTTACGCAGCCTGACACGGCGGTGGAACTGGGCCTGGACCCCAGGTCCAGCCGAAGCCTATGCCCCCGGCCCACTCCGTCCCTCGGGACCCTGTCCACAGTGGGTTGCCCCACATGGGGACAGAGGCTGCACAGCCCACGGAAAAGACAGAAAGCAGGATGGGGAAGAGTTTAGGAGCTCGGAGAGACTGAAGCCCCGCACCCATCACAGTAACGAGAGGACATCGGAGAGGAGACGCTAAGGGTAGAAGCTTCTGGAAGCGGAGGCGGGGCTCGAGCAGCTGCCTGCAGGAATATTGATCCGGGCAAGGACAAGGGAAGTCCAGACGGGACGCGGAGAGCAAGGCCCAGGGGCAGGGAAGACAACGGTGTATCCGAAGATTCCTGTCATGAGAAAAGCGGACAGCGTGGCTGGGTGGACAAAGCGACACTGTCCTCAGGAGGCCACGGCACCCCCCTCCCCCCGTGGGATCCAGGCCGGTGCTTCGGAAGTTCCTGGACCAGCACATCGTGACCGTCCCCGCCGCAGAGGTCTTTGCTTTCTGGGAAAACTGCGAGTTCCCTTGTTGTTTAACGGAGAAGAGATGTTTTGAGCTGGGTTTTACAGAAGTGGTCGCGGGTGGCCGGATCTCCCTTGTGAAAGACCAGACCGCACTGGCAAACCAACGGCCAGGTCAGCAGTCCCGGGAAACTGGTGTCTCCTTGGAGGACAAGGGCTCCCTGCCAAGCACGCGCACGCATGCACATGCACACATGCACGCACACATGCACGCACGTGCGCACACACACATGTACACATGCACACATGCACGCACGCACGTGCACACACGCAGTGTTGTTGTTTGCAAGGCTAATGTAGACATGTAAGCGCACTGACCAGGCAGGAGTGGGGTGGCAACAAGGAACGAAAGGCTGTCACGCGGGCGGAGGGCTCAGCCTTTGAAGAGGACACATCTTCTGCAGGTCCCTAGTGGCCGCCCAACTGGTTTCAGTCCCAGCAGCCAAACTCTGCTGCTGCGACAGCCGCCAGGTGTGGGCGCCCCTGGTGTCCCAGGCACTTAACACACGTTGAGCGCGCGAGTTAGCGGGCTTGGGCTGGCGTCAGCCATGTCAGGTGTTGAAGCGCAGGGTGCTACAGGGTTATTGTGTCTGTGACCCTCCCCTGAGGGCCGGAGTCCGAAAAGCAGAATATAGGAGTTCTGTATTCTCCCAGTCGCTAGGGAAGGGATGTCTGCTGGTTCACATGGGTGCAGCTCAGAACCTGACACTCCTTCTGGTCCTTCTAAAAGCGCTCCTTACACTGATTCACCTTTTAGGCTTCGGGGCAACCAAAAGACCACGTTTTAGGAAAAATAGTCACTGGTATAAAAAAAAATCCAACTAGAACATGTGTTTCAAAAGATGATTGCTATATAGTATACTACACCCCAAAAAATTACTAAAATATACAATATGTATAAGATACATGTAGCAGATATATACAACATTTCATTTAAATTCATTATGTATAAATAGTCTACTGAAGTTTATTTACATTGTTTCACTTTCATTCGTGCAATTACGGAAAAATAGCTGGTGACATGAGATCATTTCTGTGTAAGATTGCTGGTCAACAATGGTTAAATTACAGCAAACTCGTGTGCAAACCACTTGTGAAGGGGTCCCCTGCAAGGTCTTAGCTTGCTCCCCCTCCAGCGGTCACCCGCTCAGACTGTCATCCCTCAGAGTGATGCAAAGCCCCTCCCTGAGCTCAGCTTCCTAATGCTCTTTGGATGGAGAGAGGCACTTGGTATTTGGGTTCAAAGGCTTCCTGCACAAATAAAAAAGTTAAAGAGCCCTGGGTTTGGCTCAGCGGTTAGAGCGTCGGCCTGCGGTCCAGAGAGACCCAGGTTCAGTTCCTGCTAAGGGCACATACCTCGGTTGCAGTTTGTCCCCAGCCCTGGTTGGTCGTACAGGTAGCAGCCACTTGATGTGTCCCTTTCAAGTCGAGGTTTCTCTCTCTTCCTCTCTCTCCCTCCCACTCTATCTGAACAAAAAATGTCCTCGGGTGAGGATAAAAAAAAAAGTTAATGAGAGATGGGGACTGAGTCACCAGAAGAAATATCCAACTAGGGGACAACACCCTGGAAGGGGACGAAAGGCTTGGACCAGGCACTAGCCCCTAAATGACCTCATTTAGTCCTCCCCCAAATTCCTAGGAGTCTCCCATTCCCTATGTAGGGGAAACAGCCTCAAAGAACTGAAGTTCTTTGCAACGTTGAAGACAGCACAGCAGGATCTGAACCGGGCCTATCTGACGGTGACCCTCCTCCCTGCCCCATAGGCGTCCCTGTCCCTGAATGCAGCACTGACCCGGAGGAGAAGGGCAGGAGAGAGTACGCAGGTCTTTCCATGGCCCCCTGCAGGGCTGTTTTGGCTTTAGGCAAAATTAGTATTTAGGAGGCTCCACCCTCTACCTTGACTCTGTCCTGCTACACGAGGGGGAGGTTTGAGGGGAGGTGGGATTGGGGCAGAGAGGTGGGCTTCCTCTCCCTCCTCCTCAGTTACAATGGCTGAACCCAGAATGGAAGCCAACCTTTGAATGAATCAAATTCCAATTTGGGCACGTCCAACCCTGGAGGGGTGTGCCCACACTTCTGTGATCTGAACGCCCTCGGCACAACACATGTGAAACCTCATCCACCCGATGCAGACGATATTTGAGGAAGTGGAAACTGGCCACTTCGCCCAGGATAGCACGTTACTAAACAGCCCAGAAATAAAAGCTCCCTCGCATGTCATCGCGTGCCCCCTCTCGGCGCGTCTCAGGACACTGCCTTCAGTACGCACACTGAAAATGATGGACATCGCCCTGGCCAGTGTGGCTCAGCGGTTAGAGCGTCGGCCTGCGGTCCAGAGACACCCGGGTTCAGTTCCCACTAAGGGCACGTATACCTCGGTTGCAGTTTGTCCCCAGCCCTGGTTGGGTCGTGCAGGTGGCGACCACTCGATGTGTCCCTTTCACGTCGATGTTTCTCTCTCTCTCTTCCTCTCTCTCCCTCCCACTGTATCTGAACCAAAAATGGAAAAATGTCCTCGGGTGAGGATAAAAAAAAAGAAAATGATGGACATCGTCCTTATTGAGAGCTCAAAGGTAAGAAGAAAATATTTAATGACCCTGAGCCACAGCTGGACAAATAAAAGAGGCTACAGGCCTCCAAGCGGAGACCCCAGAATAGCCGGTAAAGAGTTAATAATGGCCTCAAAGGGAAGGGGGGGGAGATAAACCAAAGAAAGTCTCTGCACATCTGCACAACCAATGGACACAGACAATAGTGTGGGGAAGGCAGGAGGGGGTGGGGCTGGGGAAGAGGGGTTCAATAGGGAGAAAAGGGGGGGACATCTGTAATGCACTCAACAATAAAGATACGTTTTAAAAAGACTTAATAATGGCTGTGTTATGAGAGGGTCCTGATGTTTCGAGTTAGAGGAATTTTAAAAAACGTGACTCCACTTGAAATTGTAGCAGCAGCCCGAGAACCGGAACCTCTTTATCATGCCCTGAAGAGCTCAGTGGGAAGGGGACAGTAATCGAGGGGAGACGTGAGCTGAGCCCAGGCTAGAAACAGGAGCTGAGAACCAAAGGATTTAATAAACTAACCCTATTGTCCGGCCGGTGTGGCTCAGCGGCTGAGCGTCGACCCTGCACCAAGCGGTCACCAGTTCAATTCCAGGTCAGGGCACATGCCCAGGTTGTGGGCCCGATTCCCAGTGGGGGGCGTGCAGGAGGCGGCCCATCCATGTTCTCTCTCATCGATGTGTCTGTCTTTCTCTCTCTCCCTTCTTCTCTCTCTAAATTCAATAAGGAAAAAACATTAAAAAAATAAAACTAACTCTATTGAATCTTATCGTGGTGACCAGACTGTGCAGGAGCTTGGCACTCCAGGCCGAGAGGTCAGTGGACGGCCATGCACTTTGGCCATCCGTGGGCATCACTTCCGAAACAGGGGAGCGTGCCAGTCCTGCTGGGAACTTCAGGACACCTCTGGAGGCTCAGCGAAGAGCCCCCCGCCACGCTGACCCCAGCCCCCCACCACCCGCCACGCGCCACGCTGACCCCAGCCCCCCGCCACGCTGACCCCAGCCGCCAGCCACTCTGACCCCCAGCCCCCCGCCACGCTGACCCTAGCCCCCCGCCACGCTGACCCCAGCCACCGGCCACTCTGACCCCCAGCCCCCCGCCACGCTGACCCCAGCCCCCCGCCACGCTGACCCCAGCCCCCCGCCACGCTGACCCCAGCCGCCGGCCACTCTGACCCCCAGCCCCCCGCCACGCTGACCCTAGCCCCCCGCCACGCTGACCCCAGCCACCGGCCACTCTGACCCCCAGCCCCCCGCCACGCTGACCCCAGCCCCCCGCCACGCTGACCCCAGCCCCCCGCCACGCTGACCCCAGCCAGAATTCAGCAGCAGCGGGCTGGATCCTAGAGGGTATTCATACCCCACCTCCAACCCCTAAAACTCCCCAGGATGAAACCAGCCCCATGTGCTCCGTCCCAGGTGGCCTCCCGCGTCCACCGGGAGTTTGGGCGCCTGCCCGTGTCCTCAGCAGCACCCCACTGCCCCTCGGCCAGAGGACAGAAGCAGGATGATCTCCATAGACCACATTTATTTCGGGGTAATGTGCCAGATGAACCCCCGGGTTGGTTTTCGTCTCGATTCTTCCTAGTGACTCGTCCACACCGAATGCCATCCAGGCTGAGGGTCTGACCGGAGGGGGTGCTCAAGGCCAGTGTCCTCTCCAGAGGGGCCACGCCCATGCCCCTTGGGGCCTTTCCTCCAGAGCCGCCCCACATTTCTGCAGGGTCCGAACCCTTCATTCGGCTCAGTCCTTTCGCCAACCACGAGGAGGCAGGAGGGTGGGGGGGGGGCGGTGCGGGGGGAGGGGGGCGGCAGCGCGGTAAGGCCGGGGGGAGCTGGAGGGCGCCGCCTCCTCTAGATGAAGGGGGTCCCCTTCCTTCTCAAAAGGCGGGCTGTGTTCCGGGCAGTCCCCCAGCGGGCTTTTTTTCAGGCGGGTTACTGGGTGCAGGTCTCAGAGAAGGCCACACGGGCTGCTGCGGGGGAGGGGAAGGAACACAGAGCAGGCGTAAGAAAAGCACTTAGATCCTCACGGTTACCAGTTACCGCGCATCGAGCTTCCTGTCTGGCCCAGTTCCGGGAGCTGATCCTCACCCCCTGGGGGTAGGTGTGATCATTCCCGTTTTAAGGGTCAGAAAAGTGAGGCTCAGAGACCCTCAGCTGCCTGCCCCGGATCACCGAGCTTCTAAGTCCGAGTCAGGATCCGGACCGGGTTCTGCCCAAGCCCAAAGAGTGTGATCTGAGCCACTGTGCTCAGAAGGGGCCACAGCACGGCCCCTCATCTAAGAACATGTAGCCAATCCCACAACAACAAATCGGAGGTTCTGTCCCCCTGTGTCCCCTGCGAGTGGCCCGCTTAACTGGTGCTCAGTGATTCCAGCCACGTGACCAGCCCTGAGGCCTCTCGTCACACTGGCTAAATTCACTGCATCCGGTTCAGAGGACAGAGGCGCTGTTTTCTGCCGCTGAAATCCCCAGCACCTACAGCAACATGGGGGAGCTCTGAGGACAGCTCACACCTGCATCGGGTTGCCTCACCGACTCGAACCCAGGTGGGCGCCCACTCAGCAGGCCTCCCAGCGGCGGGGTGCGGCGGGAAGTCGGGGACACATCACATGGCAAGAATGGGAGATGGGTGGGAGGGTGACTACATTCAATACAACCTCAGAGCGAGCTCCTGTTTCCCTGGCTGGAACCAGGCCAGCTCTGACCTCACTTCCCTGGCAGAACCCTCCTGGGGGCACTCCGCAGGGAGTCATGGGTCCCCAGGGCTGGTCCGCAGGAACGAGGGGAGCCGTCACCACCCCGCAGACAGGCCAGCCTGCCGGAGCCAACAAAACTGCGCCCTTCCTGGCCCGGTGCCTACGGTGAGTCTGCACACAGCGCCCTGTCCCTTGCCAGTCCTCCTGCCGCCCTGCCCCCCCGCACTGTGGGTGCCTTTCTGGGTGCTGCCCTCCCCGGGGGACTGAGCAGAGAGGGACTCGGACCCATGTTATCATAGGCCGGCATGCAGCCTTCCCGGCATCTGATTAAGTCAAAGCAAGGAAGTCACAGAATAAAAACAATCTGTGAGCCCTGGCCCATTTGGCTCAGTGGTTGGAGCATCGGCCCACGGACCAGAGAGGCCCAGGTTCGGTTCCTGCCAAGGGCACGTGCCTCGGTTGCAGTTCGTCCCTGGCCCCGGTTGGGGTCATGTGGGTGGCAGCCAGTCAATGGGTCTCTCTCACATCAATGTTTCTCCCTCTCTCTTCCCCCTCTCTCCTTCCTGCTCTATCTGAGGATAAATGCAAAAATGTCCTCAGGTGAGGATTTAAAAAAAAAAATCTATGAGTTGGGAGGGGCCTTTTGATAGAAAGGAGAGGATCTTTTTCTTCTCATCACCATGTACCCCCTCGATGCCCTCTCCCACGCCCCCACTCCTGCAATCAACACCCCGATTTCCATGCCCACGAGTTCTCGTTTCCTTCTTGCTCGATCCCCCCACTCCCCCAGCACCCACCCGGGGCTGCCTGCCAGCTGAGTGTCCTCCTTATTCTGATGACGCAGAGGCACCACCCACCCCCCAGGGGAGGTCCCCTCGCCAGGAAAACCGACCACCTGTGGCCTTCACGCCCCCAGCACCTGAGATGTGTGAAGACAGACGAGTTTGCTGTCCTTCTTCCATCCAGCAGTTTCCGCCTCTGACTTTCCTACGACTCAGACAAACCTCTGCCTCCAGCAGTTACCCCCCAGGTGACCTGCCACATCCACTCCCGAACTTGCCGACCCCCCAGCCCCGCCCCCGACACCTGGCTCCGCTGGGCCTGGACCCGAGCTCACCATGGTCATGTAGGTGGCCTCTGATCTGTCACTGGGATCTTCTTCCTCGGTCACATCCCGGGTAATCAGCGAGGAATAGACATGCTTCTAGGAGGGAAGACGGTGTGAGGACCCTCAAGCCAGCAGCTCTTAGATGGCAGAGAGAAGGCGCCAGGTACTCTGCACACGGCGCCCGCTGCTCTGCACACGGCGCCCGCTGCTCTGCACACGGCACCTGCTACTCTGCACCCACTACTCTGCACACGGCGCCCGCTGCTCTGCACGCGGCACCCGCTGCTCTGCACGCGGCACCCGCTGCTCTGCACGCGGCACCCGCTGCTCTGCACGCGGCACCCGCTGCTCTGCACGCGGCACCCGCTGCTCTGCACGTGGCACCCGCTGCTCTGCACGTGGCACCCGCTGCTCTGCACGTGGCACCCGCTACTCTGCACGTGGCGCCCGCTGCTCTGCACACGGCGCCCGCTGCTCTGCACACGGCGCCCGCTACTCTGCACGTGGCACCCGCTACTCTGCACGCGGCACCTGCTGCTCTGCACGCGGCACCTGCTGCTCTGCACATGGCACCTGCTGCTCTGCACATGGCACCTGCTACTCTGCACACGAAGCCCGCTGCTCTGCCCGCGGCATCGGCCACCAAACCTGGCAGGTCCAGAGGGTCACTGAGCGCTAGAGAACGGTCACTGACAATGGTAATTCTGTCCTCAGTGCTCCCGAAAATTAACTCGTCAGCAAAGAGCACCATCTTAACCAACTTCTTTGCGTCACAAGCCAACTAGTCTCTGTTCGGGTAGCAGCAAGTCTAGCTACCCCGTGGGTACTTCCTCCCCGTGGAGCCAGGATGGTGACCTCAGCCGGCAGCTAACGTGTCAGCTCTTTCGAGGGTTCGGGGTGGGGACAGCCCTCTCTGATCCTCAACCTGTGAGGCACAGGGTGAGTCCCACTTCTGTCCCTGTTTGGGGAAACCGTGTCACCCGTGGGGACTTCCAGGGCTCCGGAAGCCCCCGCACCACGAGAAAACCCGACTCCTGGGGCGGCACAGACAGACAGACAGACAGAAGATGGAAAGGAGCACATTCCAAGGGGGGGGTTTAAAGTTAGAAGAAGAAGGGGGTCAAGGAAATGGATCCATTTCGTACTCCCGATCGGCAATGATTTGCTGTTACAAACCAGCACGGGAGGAAAGCACTTTGCAATGTTTCCAAAGGCCCCGAGGGCTTCATCTGAACCCTCGGCTCCCACAGGGGCCCTAGCGCTCCCTCGTGCACACGGGCCTCGCCAGTGCTGGAGCGCGTGCGCCGTCACGATATCTGAACAGACAGCAGGGCGAACAGGCTGCCCTCATCCAGGTTTTACTGAGGGGAAAACCGAGGCTCGGGGAGGGAGCAGAGCTGACTCCCCGGGACTTTCGGGCTCTCAGTCCAGTGTTCCTTCCAGGCCCCACCAGTTCGTCCTGACCACGCTGGGCCGGCCCAGCCGCCTCACCACGCTCCCCCCCTGCATGTTCCTTCCGGGCGATGAACTCCCGGGCCCCTGCTCCGTGCCAGCCTCGGGCCCACGTGCTGAGCCGTAACGACGGAAGACACGGGCGCAGAGGACTGGGAAGGACGCCCAGTGCCGGAGCGGGTCCCCGCGCCCTCCTGGGCACCGCGGCGGGACGGCAGGGTCCTCTTACCTCCTCCGGAGCCTTCTGTATGTTCTCCAGGCCTTTCACCAGGGCCGTGGGAGACACGGACCTGCAAGGCACAGAACGCAGCAGGTTAGCCGCCAGCACTGTGTACGCACGGGCCCCGACAGCATCGCCCCTGGACTCCTGCCCAGCCCGGAGGTGTGGCTGGGCAGGCAGGAGAAGCAGAAGCTTCTCCGTCTCACTCAGTTGAGACAACAGGTCAAAGGGCCAAGCTGAATGGTCCCCACAAACACCCCAGCCAGAGAGCACCGGCCCTTCCTGGTCCTTGGCCTCTGATATCTTGACCACTGTATTTGCCTTCCGCATTTACAACCGAATATACTTCCTTTTTTTTCTATTTTGGCCTAAGGTAGGACTTAAAAAACAATTCGACCCAGCCGGAGTGGCTCAGTGGTTGAGTGTTGACCCATGTACCAAGAGGTCACTAGTTCAATTCCTGGTCAGGACACATGGCCAGGTTGTGGGCCAAATCCCCAGTGGGCAGCATGCAGGAGGCGGCTAATCGATGTTTCTCTCTCTCTTTCCCTCTCTCCTCTCTCTCTGAAATCAATAAAGAAAAAAATATATTAAAAAAAAAAAAATTCGAGGTCAAGCTAAAAGTGAAACCATATATATATTTTTTGTCTCAAGTAGAAATATATACATATATTTTTTTTTCCTCATCCGAGGGCATGTTTATTGATTTTTAGAGAGAGAGAGAACATGTCCATGGGAGAAGCATCCATCAGCTGCCTCGTTTACACTCCCTGACCGGGATCGAACCTGCAACCCAGGTGCGTGCCCTTGACCGGGAATCAAACCCGTGTTCCTGTGGTCCGCAGGCCGATGCTCTAACTGCTGAACCCGACTGGCCAGGGCAGATAAGGTCCTTTCTCATACACACGAGGTCACCCTGTGCGTCCTGTAACGCAGAACTGGACACCCTCCCTGCCCCCGCGGTCGGGCCGCGTGGCACCAGCCGGCAGCAATGCTAGTGCTCCGAGCAGCCGCCTTCCTCACGGACCCTGGGCGCGACGTCCACCTTCGCTTGGAGCGAGGCTACCCCGCCGCATGGGCGCGCAGCCATTGAGCCACACCGGGTGGGCTCCTTACTCCGTCTTAATGAGAGCCTTTCCCATCGACACTGTTGCAGCAAGAGAGTGAACTTGCCCCAGCAACGCACTGCATCAACAGCTGGGTAAACAGGGGTGTCCCTGCCGACAACCCTTGGACCACGAGTGCCCATGTCAGAGCATCTGGGCATGTTTGAAGGACTTGGAGAGCTACTGACGAAATTCAAGCCTTAAAAAATAAATTTCCACAATAAACAATTTAGGCCTCGAGGGCATCCATTGAAAAATAGCCTGTCGTGATTAGAAATGTGGTCCTTGAAATAGAGCCTCTGCTGCCCTCGAGATCTGAGCTTCTGCAGGGAGCACGGACTGTGGATCATCTAAAGATCGGTCCTCGCCCTGGCCAGTTTGGCTCAGCAGTTAGAGCGTCGGCCTGAGGTCCGGAGAGACCAGGGTTCGGTTCCCGCTAAGGGCACGTACTTCGGTTGCAGTTTGTCCCCGGCCCTGGTTGGTCGTGCGGGTGGCAGCCACTCGATGTGTCCCTTTCACATCAATGTTTCTCTCTCTCTCCCTTCCTCTCTCTCCCTCCCACTCTATCTGTACAAAAAATGGAAAAATATCCTCGGGTGAGGATAAAAAATAAAAATAAAAAAATAAAGATCGGTCCTCGGCGCTGGCTGGTGTGACCCAGAGGTGCCGGTTTGATTCCTTGTCAGGACAGGCGCCCTGGCTGCGGCCGATCCCCGGTGGGGGTGGGAGCTGGCCGATCGATGCTATGCTTCCATATCAGTGTTTCTCGGTCTCTCCCTCTCTTTCCAAAAATCAGTAAAAATAGGCATGTTTTTATACTTCTCCCAGGCGCTGAATGGCACCACTACAGGTCATACTTAAGATGCAGAGTCTCCACTGCGCTCTGTATGCCTTTTGTGAAGGCGTTGGGAGCTCCGTGAGACACCAGCGCGAGGAGGGCGGTGTGGGAGGTGCGAGGCTTCCCAGGAGCCAAAGGGCGGCTCACTAGACACATGACCTCGAATGTAACATCCCCCACGGGACGGCCTCTGCTTGAAACAGCCCTTCTGCGAACAGGGCAGCGAGGGCCCTGTCACGCGCCCAGCCCAGGCTGGAGGCAGTCCTGACCCTGCAGCCCCCTCCCCGGGGGTGAGGGCAGCCCTGTACCTCTTATTCCTGTGGGTCCTCATCACCAGCAGGATCAGGACCGGAAGCATCAGGACAGTGGCACACACAATTCCCACAATGATCACCAGCTGATTACCACCCAGAGGCTCAGCTCTGTGGGCCACCGAGGTCACCGACGCTGAGAGAGACAGAAGCCACGAGAGGGCCTCAGTATTCCATGCGAGGGCTGGGAACGCCCAGTCATCCACGAAGCAGCAACGGCCAGGTCAGGAAGCGCAGAGGCCGGGCTCACTGCACATAGAAACACGAGGACTCTGCCACCCTGTTAGACTGAGGACCAGTCTTTCTCCTCAGACATGGAGGAAGCGGGGTGGAGAGGGGACAGCACCTCCCTACAGCAGTTCCTTCTGCACTGACATCGCTGTCTTGAAATGTGGTTCATCGAACGACACGGAGACAACAGGCGTCTTGGAGGCCACTGGGCTCCCTAGGATCTAGACGACAGACTCAGGCCGCCGTCAGGGGCCGAGCAAGGCCTTCGAAGCTCTCCCGGCCGTACTGTGTCCCCCCACCTCCTCAGTTCACACCGAAGACATCCCAGACCTCCAGGGGACTGCTGCACCACACACGGAAGACACCAACATGGATCAAGTCTGTCTCTGCCCCTAAGGAGAGGGACAACCCTGCAAACAGAGACCCACAGGCCGCGAGGTGCAGACGTCTGCACGGGGTGCAGAGCGGCACAGAGAAAAGGGAACCCAGCCCGGCCAGTGTGGCTCAGTGGCTGAGCATCGACCCTGCACCAAGAGGTCACCGGTTTGATTCGCGGTCAGGGCACAGGCCCAGGGTGTGGGCCCGATCCCCAGTGGGGGGCGTGCAGGAGGCGGCCAGTCGCTGTTCTCTCTCATCCATGTTTCTCTCTCTAACATCAATAAAGGAAAAGAAAAGAAAACTGGCCCAAGTCGTGAAGGACCGTGATGAGCTTAACCAGGAATTTGGCTTTTTTTCCCCTGTAGGCACCGGAGGAGCTGAAAGATTCTACGCCGTGCAGCTCAACGCTCAGACCTGCGGTTCCGAAAGCGGGGGCGGATCATGCGTGGACATGAGCTGAGAATGAAGGCAGAGCCCAGTGAGAGGCGTCAGACCCGAGGTGGAGCTGACGGCCCGGAGAGAAGGAGCAGTCTGGCCGGAGCGGCAGCGGCAGGGCTGTGCGCCGTCAGACTGGGGTCCCGGGAAAGGGGAACCCCGTGCAACTCCCCGCGCCCAGGCAGGTAAGTGCAGACAGCGGCGGCAGCGGGGGGCCGGGAGGAGGGTGCGGGGAGGTTTGGACACCTCGGACCCAAAGTCCTCGCGGGCTTAGGTGGGGCTCACACAGATGTGCAGGTAGATGAGCCGAGCCCAGCACAGAACGTACTGAATGCCCGTAGGGTGCAGTGTCCGAGTCTACTGAGGCACAGAAGCCGAGGACGTGCGGTCAGCGTGCCGACGCGCCCGACGCCCGAGCAGGGGCAGCAGCAGGAGCCCGACGGCGGTGCCCTGAGGGGTGGATGGGACAGGAGACAGGACACAAGACAGCCCATACGCCAGCCATCTGGCCGAGCCAAGAAAGAAATCTGTAACCGGGTGTGGCGAAGGCAGCACAACTCTGAATGCTCCAGGCAGCACTGGGTGCACACTGAGAGGGGGGCGTACGGTACGTGACTGCACCTCACTGAGGCTGTTTTGAGAAAAAGAAAGACAGAGCCGACAAGGACACAAGGGGAGGAGCTGAGCAGGTTTCCGCACTGCCGGTAGCAGCCGGTCACTGGAGGGGACCGAGAAGCAGAGAGGGACCTGAGCGCAGGTTTTCGGATGAGCCGGGGGAAGGAAGGGCCGGACTCAAGGCGGAGACCCGGGCCGGGCAGATACAGTCCTCTCTGCGGGTGGCGGGGGCTGGGAAGGGGGATGAACGCCCACGAAGGGCCTGTATTTCGTCTACGAAGTGAACGTAAGCTTCCGGAGGGTGAAGAAATCTGTCCGCCCTGCTTCCCTGTCCGGCTGGGACCCTTTGCTATGGACAAGCAGGCGCCTGCACACTTCAGTGTCTGGCCAGAGGCATGGAGGTGAGTTCCGTCCTCCCCACCCACCCCCACCCGCCCCGACAACCACAGCCGAGCGAGGCCCCGAGGCCCTCGTGAAAGACGGCCACATCCTGGCTGCTCACGGGGCTATGGTTTACCTTCCACCCTCACCTAGCAACTTCCACCAGTCAACACAGCGGTCTCCTCTGCACGCTGGCCTCAGCGCAGCGTTTCCCCGAACACACAGCCTCCGAGCAGAAAGCCCCCCGTTTTCCGCGCTGGCCCCTTCCTGTGTTCTTGGCCCTGCGCCTCTCGCCAGCTCCGGATCCCGTCACCCTGCGCCGCAGGGCACCCGGCCGCCTTCTTGAAGCTGAGCGAAGGTGACTCTGAACTTCAACTCCAACTAGTCCCCGAGTCCCTGGGTAGACGGCACTGGCCACCAGCGAGGTCTGGCAGGGGCTGGTGTCCACTGACCCTCAGCGCCTTTGTCACTGACCTGCCAGCAAGGCCAGACTAGGGTGAGGCAACCGAGGTGCCTCAGGGCCGGGCAGGCAGTCTGCACCTCCGAGTGACGCCGCCCCCTATTCTGCTCCCCAGCAGCCTCTGGGCCTCACCCCGTCCTGGCCAACCTACCAGTGACGAGGTCCCCCTTCCCTCCCCAGCCCCCCGTGACGTACTTCGGGGCTCTTTCTGAACCACGTGCAGCACGACGGTCTTCTGGACTGTCAGGTTCCCCAGGTGGACACTGCAGCTGTAGCTCCCTCCATCCGACTCCTGCGCCCCCTGGAGCGTGATGGAGCCGTCGTTGCGGGCGGGGTCCCCCACCAGGGTCACGCGGTTCTGGAAGCGGCCCCAGGTCGGGGAGCACCCCTTGGGTGCCCCGAGTTGGGGGTGACAGGACAGCAGCAGCTCCTCCTAGAGGGAAAGGCAGAGTCTGAGACTGTGGGGAGACCGGCTGCGTGGGCCGCGGGAGGCACCGGACAACCCGGGTGTGAGCGCGCCGTGTGCGGCTGTGGGGGCCACCAGGCCACGGCACAACTGCCCCACCGGAGAGCGGCCTGAGCAAGTGGGCATGAGGGCCTCTCACTCCTCACCCGTCCCGGAAAAGACGGGGAAGCCCACTCTCCTCGGCGACAGCCCAGCTAGCTTTCCTGCAGCCGTGGCCGTGTGGCCGAGCTCCCGCTTCCCCAGGCCTGTCTTGTGGGTCCGCCCGTTTAGTGAGCGGCGGCTCCTTCTTCCAGAGGCTCGGGCTAAATGCCCTGGGGTCGCCCTTCCTTCCTCTCTCTCTGGAACTCGCATCTAAAGACCCTCAGCAAAGCCGATCCTCGGCCCTCAAACTGTCTCAGTCTAGCGCTCCTCACCTCCTCCATGGTGGCCGCCGGGTCCGAGCGCCATCTGCCCCCTGGATCCTGCAAGGAGCCTCCCTACGTCTCTCCTACTTCCCCCCAAGTCAGCCTGGAGATGAGTCCTTAGAAGTTAAACCAGCTGCTCCTCTGCTCGGGCCTCGCTCGCACCTCCCTTTCTCCTAAAATACAGGCCCTTTTCCTGTCTGGTTGCATCTACTTGCTCTTCTCTCACCTATTTCGGTCAGTTCCCTCCAGGCACACTGGCCTCCTTGCTGCTCTGAGTACTGGCCTCAGGGCCTTAGCATTTGCTCCTCTTTATACCTGAACACGCTTCTCCCAGACCTGGTTCATTCTCTCACTCCCTCCAGGCCTCTGCTCAAATGCCAGCTTCTCGGGGAGCCTCCCTGACCCCCTCCATGAACCAGCAACGAGACTCTGCTTCCGTGGTCTCCGGGGCCCTTACTGCTCCCTGACGGGTCCTGTGTCTCTCTCTTCCTTACTTCCCGAGTGTCTCCCCCACCCCGCCGGAGAGCCCCCATCAGGGCTTTCACTGCGGGGCAGATGCTTCAGGAACACGTGTTAGACGAGTAAGGGTTGGGGTTTTCAATCAGGGTGTGCAAACGTTCCTGTTTTCTAGAGCGTGTAGGAACAGGAATGGGGATGGGTATTCGGACACAAAGGTGAACGAAAAGACCCAGTGATCCAAACTCACAGCTCAGAGTGTCCATTCGCACCCCGTTTTCCGTTGTGACGCACCTGGTGTGGGACACGGACACGCTCGACAGGCTCCCAGAGGGGAACCCGAGGCCACACAAAACCCCCGAAACCCACCACGAGCCACCCTTTCTGACCCAGTCCGGCAGCGTGCCCGGATCCAGTGAATTTAAGTGACTTTTGTATAGGGATGACCAGGAGTAGGTCTTAACTTCTAAAAGCTAAAACTTCTATAAATGTTCCACCTTAACTGTGTGATAGTATGTCGTTTGGAATACCCCCAACGGCAGAGTCTGACCCAGAAGCACATGGCCCTAGCGGACACCCCTGGTCTAGTGAACAAACTGCTGTTGGCTGCTTCAGAGTTCTCGGGGAGCCCCCTCACCCTGGCCCCCCGGATCCACAAAGACAGAGGACGTCCCCTCCGTCCCATAAGTGGGACAAGGGAGCACAGAAGAAAACCCAAAGATAACCTAAATAAGAACAAAGATGTCATTGTTCGTATGTCCCGGCCAGGCCTCAGAAATCATCCCCCTCGCTCTCCCATGTTCCCTGCGGAGAGAAGGGAGGGAACTAAAACGCGGGGTCTACGTCCTGTGCAAATGCCTCTCATGGACTAGCTCGTGTGTGCGTCTCCACTACCTTAAAGGTGACGCGTTTTCTTCTCCTCCTCCATTATCTCCGTCCTGTTCGTTAGTTATTTTCCCCACCAGAAGGCTGAAGCGGCCCAGCACATGGCCCCGATGCCTAGATTCTCCCGTCCTGACACCATGAGCCAGGGGCTCCGACCGCACGGTGACGGTCCCTCAGGGTTACCTGTGTGTGCTTCTCCGATGAGAACACCCAGTGGACCTTGGTCATGAGCCTCCCTTCTGTGCTCTGGAGAACACACCCCATCCGAGCTGCATCGCCCACACGGACCACGAGCTCTGGGGATAAAAGACACATCAGGTCAAACCCCAGATTTAATCTGTAGAAGCCAAAGAACTTCTGGAAGAGATCAAGTTTAGCCAAAGACCCTCAACAGTACAATCAACATTACCAGCAAACACTAAACACATTCTCTCCACCGGTGACCCCAGTGACCCCGTTTGGTCAAAATATCCAGAAGCCTCTCACTCAGACCACACGATGCTCCCTGGGTAAGAGAATCCCTCCAGCCATCCACACACATCGAGTGCAAGGGGCCTGTGGTCTTCACACCACAATAAGCACTTTCCGGTCTTCTTCAATTCCGTTCTCCCTCCCTGTGGCAGAATTGTCCCCGTGAGCGCTGATTCCACTTCAAGTTTACACTAAAGAAAGTAGGGAAACTCCTGAGGCCTGTCACTTTCTGTCCACGTCCTGAGCTACCACATCGGCCTCACCTACACAGGAAGCGGGAAGTTATATAACTCTTCTTTTCCTATACATGCGTATGACCACTGGACCTCCTAGCTGGAAAACTGAGTCGAGGGTGATTTCCCTCAACTTCTTCCGTTCTTTTTACAAGTTGTCTGGGACTTGTGCAGGGCAGTTCTGGCTACAGACAGGTCACAGGACTCCTTGCTAATTAAGCCAAGACAACAGACCATTCTCTTCTGAACACTGTTTCTCTTTCGATGCCTGTCCCCACTCCCCGACGTGACCCCCTTCCCCTGCTTCTGGCTCTCCAAGTCCTGGGCTCCCCAGCTGCTCACTTTAGAAGCAGCTGCCCCATCATCTGTCCACTACGTAGGCCATTTCAAGAGGTCCTTGAAAAAGAGAACAAGTAGAAAGACGTTTCTGATTTTCTCAGTGATGTTCCACACCGATCAGCCACAAGGGCATTTAGGGGACACAAGCCCAGGTCTTCACGGGACCGAGTTCCTTCCAAGAGCATTAAGCGAAGTTCATGAAGGAACAAACACAGTGCGTAAGCCGACCTCTCCACCCAAACCGTTTCCCTGGGAGAACGTCAACTTCCCGCCCAGCAGGAAAGATGCCTAATGGGAGGAAAGCAAAAGAAAATACTTTGAACTCGAAGCCCTGTAGAGGGAATTATTTTGAAAGTAATAAAAATTCAGTCCAAAGAATACCAGTAGAGAAGGGAACTAACCCCCTCTAATTCCAGTAACACATTAAAAACTAAACTCTCTTTTTTTTTAAAAAGCTATGCTTCTATTGATTTTTTAGATAGAGAGGAAGGGAGAGAGCGATGCAAACATCGTGAGAGAGAAACATCGACTGGCTGCGTCCTGCACGCCCCCTGCCGGGGACCAAGCCTGCAATCCGGGCATGTGCCCTGACCGGGAGCAGATCGGGACCTCTCAGTCCTCGGGACAATGCTCAAGCCACTGAGCCACACCAGCTGGACTTAAACTCTGTTTTGTAAGTGTGATAATAATAACTAAAGCTCTGCATTCTTTCAATGTACCAGGCAAGTGCTGGACACCCTGGACGTCGTGTATCAGCTGGTCATTAGAGTATTTGGAGATACTCACCAGTACCCTCCCATTTTACAGAGGACGAAAGAGACCAAAGGGCATGGCCAGTACAACACTGGGCAGCGCCCGACCAGCCCAGTGGAAACAAGGCTCAGCGTTCTCACTAACCACACCCCCACCCCCAGGAGGGGAGGACGGCCGAGTCCAGAGCAAAAGCACAGGAAGTTAGTATTAATTTTATTTGTAAGAATGTTGCCTACAGTATTTCAATAAGAACTATGAAAAAAAAATTAAAGGAACAGAATCAGAGAAATTATAAGCTGAAGGGTAAACTTGGGGGAGAAAATTCTAGGTCACTGCACAGAGTTTTCTTATGGGGGGGGACAACCCCTACCAAGCAAGATGAACCGCTGGGTACTGGCCATCAGCGCATCGGTAGGAGCTGGATCGCTTCCCACTCGGGCTAGAGGGGAAAGTATACACAAGTTGCCCAGCTGAGCCCTGGAGAGATGTCTAACCAGCCCTAAAACTGTCCTGGCCTGTTCCCACAGATTTAACTCATGAAATCAGCTCCTTTCAGTTCGCTTTCTGGGTTTCTTTTAAGCAGGAAAAGGACAAGCGTTGGGCACAGCATGAGAAGACAAAGCAGAGAGACGGAGCCCAAAGGCAGCCCTAAAGCCGATGGCGGCTGATTCACCCCCCTGCCTAGTGGAAAGGGGATCAAAAGAAAAACGACAGCTGGAAAAAAGTTAAGAAAGTAAGCAGACAGGCCAGAATTACCTTCTACAACCCCATTTATTAGAAGTCAAATTCAAGTGAGGGACCCTGATTCAGGAATTCCATTCATCCGAGCCACATTTATTGGTCATTTCCTCTGCTAGGCACGGTGCCCAGGGCTAGTCAGGGGACCAAGATCAGACCCAGGCGAACGGGCAACACACAACGGAACAGGTGTGATGAGGGTCACCAAAGAGAGGACAGGGTGCTCCACAGGGGCTCATTAGGAGTGGACCGAAAGTAGCCGGAGGAAGGGAGGGTCCGGGTTCCAGTTCCCTAATTAGGCTGTAAGCGTCCCTGAGGCCACAGACCACGCCTTCTGTTTCCCACTTTCAAAGAGGGTGTTGAATTCTGTGGTTTTCAAACTTTCTTTAAAGCAGCGGAATTCTTCCTTCAAACACAATCTTGCCTGGCAGCCCGGAAATAAGTCAGGAAAAAGATAAGGCCGGTGACGCAGTGGCGGGGAAGCCCGAGGCCCTCCCTGACGAGGTCCTCCCCTCCCTGTCCTCCCCCTCGGGCAGCCTACCCGGTTCCTTGCACCTGGAACATTCAACAGAGCAGTTTTGTTGTTGTTGTTGTTTTAATTTTTTTTTTCTTTATTGATTTTAGAGAGAGGAAGGGAGAGGGTGAGAGAGAAGCATCAATGAGAGGGAACGTCGATGGGCCGCCTCCTGCACGCCCCCCACTGGGGATGAGCCCACAACCTGGGCATGTGCCTTGACCAGGAATTGAGCTGGCGACCTCTTGGTGCAGAGTCGACGCTCAACCACAGAGCCACACCGACCAAACTCAACAGAGTGGTTTTTAAACCACCAATCTCCAGACATCACTCCCTCTATTTACAAGTGGGAAAATGAGAACCACAGAAGTTGGAGGTCGGCTCAGGTCTTTTCTGTCCCCCAGAGCACTGAGGTAGGTGCCTACAGGAATGGGTGTGGCATCCCTGTGGACAACTGATGGGAAGGATCGTACAGTCTAAAACACATGGCCTTGCCCTGGCCAGTTTGGCTCAGTGGTTAGAGCGTCGGCCTGCGGTCCGGTGAGACCCGGGTTCGGTTCCCGCTAAGGGCACGTACCTCGGTTGCAGTTTGTCCCCGGCCCTGGTTGGTCATGCGGGTGGCAGCCACTCGATGTGTCCCTTTCACATCGATGTTTCTCTCTCTCTCTCCCTTCCTCTCTCTCCCCCCACACTATCTGTACAAAAAATGGAAAAATATCCTCGGGTGAGGATAAAAAAAATAAATAAAAAATAAAAAAATAAAACACATGGCCTTTGTTGTCCTTGGTGACAAGGCTCCAGGACTGGATATACCATGTAACAAATACGGGTCCTTAAGCAGTCACTTGACCTCCCTAAGCCTCCGTAGCTTCATCTGTAAAATGAAAAGAACAGAACTTCCTCCCCATTTTTTCTCATTTTCGCCCGAGGATATTTTTCCATTGATTTGCAGAGAGACATCCATATGAGAGAGACACATCAACGGGTTGTCTCCCACACGATCCCAACCAGGGCCCTGGATCGAACTGCAACCGAGGTACCTGCCCTTGACCGGAATCGAACCCGCATCTCTTTGGACGCTGTAAGCGCCGAGACAAACCAGCCGGGGCTCTTCGCAGCATTTTCCAGAGCGTGACCTACGTTTAAAGTCAGGATAAAGCCATGGCTGTCAGCCTCTGATTTGGAGAGCGGGTGACCGCGCGCGCGCACAGGTGGTGAGCGCCAGCCCAAAGGGGGTTCGCTCGCAGAATCCCCCCTCCCTGCACATCCGCCCCTCCCTTCCCCTCCCCTAGGCAAGCCGTCCTGTACCTTTGGGCTCCTCTGGCAGAACCTGCAGCACCACCGTTTTTTTGAACACCTGACTCTCCATTTCAAGGCGGATCTCGCAGGTGTAGGTTCCCTGGTCGTCCTCTTGCACGTTTTGGAGCAGGAGAGAACCGTCACTGCGCGAGAGGTCCCCCGCCAGGCGCACGCGGCTCTGGAAGCGCCCCACGGGCACGCTGAGGTTGGCGTAGTAGTACAGCACGTACTCCTGCAGGCACACGACAGGGGTCGGTCAGCGCACCAGGCCCGAGTCTGGACGCAGGAGCCCCTGCCCCGTGCGGGCGGCACAGCCACCTCGATCCGGTCTGAAAGCACCTACTGCCCGGGAAGGACAACGGACCAGGCAGCAGTGTCGCTCACACAAGGTCTGTGGCTCCCTGATCCGGACCGGGGAGATGGGTCCCCGTGTCCAGGTGTCCAACAGCGCACGGAGAAAGCGACGCCTGCTCTGAAGATCACTCTGGGGGCGCCCACCCAGCTTGTGAAACCGCCCGCCCTCTTCCCCGTCGCCTTCCACGGCCCCAGCACTGGATGGCATTCGGGGGCAGGACGCAGCCCACGCTGGGAGGCTCACACGCATGGAGGCATGGGGGGGGCATCAACAGGAGGGGTGCAGGTGGGAGGAGGCGCCCTGGGGAGTCCTTATCTCTCCCTCCACCACGGAAATATCCCTCTTATAATAGACACAGTAATAAAAATCTGAGCGTGGCATTCCAGGAAAAACATGTTCTGGCTGCAAAAATGCTTCGTTTGCAAACCTGGGGAGCTTGTCGTTAACAACATACTGCTCGGGACGTGTCTCACGAGGGACCCTGCCGTCTAAGTACCCCGGCTCCTGATGTGACGCGCTCCCAGAGCCCCCTGGCCCAGCTGGGCCGCCCCCACGGCAGGCAGGGAGCAGGGGGGAGCCTCCAGCTCAGCGGGGCCGCTGAGCACAGCTCCAGCGGGGAGCCCTTCTCAGCTCGGGCCAGACCCCTGCCGCCCGCTCTCCTCTCACTCCCCGCACCTGCGCTGCCCTGCAAGGGGCAGGCGCCGAGCAGAGAACCGGAAAGAATGTATGTGCGTGTCTCCCGTGAGCTTCTAGACCTGGGAAGTTAAGCATTACCATTCTTTTTTTAAAACATGGTTTTATTGATTTTTTTTTAGGGAGAGATAGAAACAGCGGTGCGAGAGAGAAGCATCCATCGGCCGCCTCCCGCACGCCGCCTACTGGGGATGGAGCCCACAACCTGGGCATGTGCCCTGACCGGAACCGAGCCAGGACCTCGTCCACACGGGACGACGCTCAGTCCACCGAGCCACACCGGCCGGACAAGCATCGCCGTGATCACAACGACCTTCCCCTTCACAGACCTCCGAGAGGCAGAAGCTCAGCCAGGATGAGTTCCTTGCCCAGCCGAGTCCACGGCCAGGAGTCCAGGCTGAGAAGAGCTCGGACGAGCTCAGAGCCAAGCTGCGGTCACCCTCACGGCGTGGCACCCGGAGACCTGGTTTCCCTCGCCCCACGGTGCTAACACATCAGCCAGGGGCTGCGGCGACACTGAGCTTTGCTCCTTCCTTACCTCACTCTGCCCCCCTGCGGAGAATATCCAGTCGACCTTGGCCACAGGCTTCTCTCCTATGCCCTGGAAAACACACCCCAGCAAGGCTGGGTCCCCCGCGTGGACGGTTAGCTCCAGGCAGGAAACCATCCAGCTGTCCAGGTCCAAGAAAGACCCTGCAGAAGCAAAAGGCGAGAGGAGGCATCATTTAGAAAAACACCCTTAACCACAAGAGTCAGTATCAATCACCAAGTAGCATACACCTGCCGTCCCCAGAAAACCCAACGTGGACAGTTACTCAAAGGCCCCTCACTCAACCCAGAAGGGTCTTCCTGAATGTAAGAAAAATATCCTCCAGGTACCCACATGGCTCAAGGCAGGGGGTCTGCGATCTTCTCCCACCCAGCCCTCCCCCTCTCCCCGAATTCCTCCGCCACCCTCCTCTCTAAGAGCCGCCCTGAAGCCCTCGTTCCAGGCCCTGTCTCTAAACGCCCGCCCGCGGACAGGAACGAGGGGTCCCTTCTCAGCGTACCACCAGCTAGCTCCCTGTCTGAAAACAATTCACGGGTACTTGTGCTCCCTTCCTCTTTTCTGTCTTTCGTTCCTTCACAAAAGCTCATCTCTGCATCTGCTGGCGGGTTCTGGCCGCGGTGCAGGCCTTGAAACTGGACCAGCCCGGAGCACAGCTGCCCCCACGTCCTGGGTCTGCCTCTCCCCACACCCTCCAGCTGTGCCAGCAGCCTGGCTCTTCAGCCCGCAGGTGGGCACACGCGGTGCCGCTCCGTGCTCTGCACCCGCCCAAGTAATTTCCCTTCTCACTGAACGAGAAAACCGCTGCATGGACATTTCTGTTTTCAGAAAATATGCTCGGTTTTCACAAGAAAGAGACAGCCACGTCGAGAAAGACACATTTGGAAACCAGCGGCTGCCAGGTGGGAAGGGGTTGGGGACTGGGTGGAAAGGGGAAAGGACTCGGAAGTAGATGGGCAGTGGCAGGACAGTCCCGGGATGTCAAGTCCAGCGCGGGGAATTCCGTCCATCCTATCGGAATGACCCTGTCTGGTGCCAGGTGGGTGCTGCAAATATTGGGGGGAGCACTTTCTAGAATATCTGATGGTCTAACCACTGTGCTTTAAACTGTGATGGAGAAATAGAATTTAAATGTAAAAGAGGAAGAAACGTGCAGATACTGGCCATTTCTATGAAAGAGGAACCCCGCAGGCACACATGGGAAAGCGAACCAAACGCCCCCTCTCCGCCCCGCCGCCCTGAGAGCAGAGGCCCAGCACCCTGGCCAGCAGCGAGGACCGGCAGGACGCACGAGGACGGCAGGACGCACGAGGACCGGGCAGGACGCACGAGGATGGCAGGACGCACGAGGACCGGGTAGGACGCACGAGGACCGGGCAGGACGCACGAGGACCGGCCGGACGCACGAGGACCGGCCAGGACGCACGAGGACCGGCAGGGCGCACGAGGGCGGGCAGGACGCACGAGGACCGGGCAGGACACCCCGGCTCTGGACCCGCCACAGGGAACTGCTTTGAAAGAAATCAAAATGAGCTGCAGGAACAGCCTGGAATGCTAACGTGGGAAGAACTGAGCTCGGGTGCGGTGGGGAAGGTGTCAGGAGCAAACGGGATGGCACAGATGCACGCCAGGTGGAGAATCAGGCAGAGGTGGTCGGACGGCAAGGGCAGCCCCCAAGGCGAGGAGAAGCCGGGCCCTAAAGGGACCTTCTGGGGTCATGCTGAGGGAAAGGAGACTTTCTGAAGGAGGAGCCCGCTCCTCAGCAGGCAGCAGCCCGATGCCGAGCCCCCCACAGGCTGGACCGTCACCTCTGTGGCCCACTGCACAGGCCTCTGGGAGATGGCTGAGGGACCCTGAAATCTAAGAGCCCACGAGAGGAGTTCCCTAATATACGCCATTTCTGTGTGGGTGGGTGGGTGTGAATGGGGGGATGTGTAGGGGTGCGGAGGGGTATATGTGTGGGTGTGGGGGTGCGAGGGGGTGTGGGTCTATGTGCGGGTGTGTGGGGGTGGGTGGGAGTGGGTATGCATGTGGGTGGATGTGGGTGTGTGTGTAGAGTGGGTGTGTATAGGGTGGGTGTGTAGAATGGGGGTATAGGGTGGCTGTGTGTAGGGTATGTGTGTGCATGTGGGTGTGTAGGGTGTGTGTGTGCATGTGTGTGTGTGTAAAGTGGGTGTGTGCATGTGTGTGTAGGGTGGCTGTGTGTAGGGTATGTGTGTGCATGTGTGTGTAGGGTGAGTGTGTAGGGTGTGTGTGCATGTGAGTGTGTGTAGGGTGAGTGTGTAGGGTGTGTGTGTGCATGTGAGTGTGTGTAGGGTGAGTGTGTAGGGTGTGTGTATAGGGTGAGTGTGTAGGGTGGGTGTGTGCATGTGTGTAGGGTATGTGTAGGGTTGCTGTATGTGTAGGGTATGTGTGTGCATGTGAATGTGTGTAGGGTGTGTGTGTGCATGTGAGTGTGTGTAGGGTGTGTGTGTAGGGTGTGTGTGTAGGGTGTGTGTGCATGTGAGTGTGTGTAGGGTGAGTGTAGGGTGTATGTGTATAGGGTGAGTGTGTAGGGTGGGTGTGTGCATGTGAGTGTGTGTAGGGTGAGTGTGTAGGGTGTGTGCATGTGAGTGTGTAGGGTGTGTGTAAGGTGGCTGTGTGTGTAGGGTATGTGTGTGCATGTGAATGTGTGTAGGGTGTGTAGGGTGTGTGTGCATGTGAGTGTGTGTAGTGTGAGTGTGTAGGGTGGGTGTGTGCATGTGTGCGTAGGGTGTGTATGTAGAGTGGGTGTGTGCATGTGTGTGTAGGGTGTGTGTAGGGTATGTGTGTGCATGTGAGTGTATGTAGGGTGGGTGTGTGCATGTGAGTGTGTGTAGGGTGGGTGTGTAGGGTAGGTGTGTGTAGGGTGTGTGTGTAGGGTGGGTGTGTGCATGTGAGTGTGTGTAGGGTGTGTGTGTTCATGTGAGTGGGTGTGTAGGATGTGTGTGCATGTGTGTAGGGTGGGTGTGTAAGGTGGGTGTGCGCATGTGTGTGTAGGGTGTGTGTAGGGTGGCTGTGTGTAGGGTATGTGTGTACATGTGAGTGTGTAGAGTGTGTGTATAGGGTGAGTGTGTAGGGTGGGTGTGTGCATGTGAGTGTGTGTGTAGGGTGGGTGTGTGCATGTGAGTGTGTGTGTAGGGTGGGTGTCTGCATGTGAGTGTGTGTAGTGTGGGTGTTTAGGGTGTGTGTGTGCATGTGAATGTGTGTAGGGTGTGTGTGTGCATGTGAGTGTGTGTAGGGTGGATGTTTAAGGTGTGTGTGTGCATGTGAGTGTGTGTAGGGTGTGTGTGCATGTGGGGGTGTGTGTGTGTAGAGTGGGTGTGTATAGGGTGGGTGTGTAGAATGGGGGTATAGGGTGGCTGTGTGTAGGGTATGTGTGTGCATGTGTGTAGGGTGGGTGTTTGCATGTGAGTGTGTAGGGTGTGTGTGCATGTGTGTGTGTGTAAAGTGGGTGTGTGCATGTGTGTGTAGGGTGGCTGTGTGTAGGGTATGTGTGTGCATGTGAGTGTGTAGGGTGTGTAGGGTGTGTGTGTGCATGTGAGTGTGTGTAGGGTGTGTGTGTGCATGTGAGTGTGTAGGGTGAGTGTGTAGGGTGTGTGTGCGCATGTGAGTGTGTGTAGGGTGGATGTTTAAGGTGTGTGTGTGCATGTGAATGTGTGTAGGGTGGGTGTGTGCATGTAAGTGTGTGTAGGTGGGTGTGTAGGGTCTGTGTGTGCACAGGTGCACGTGCTCTATGTTGCCTGGAACTAGAGCAAAGGCTGTTCTTGTGCACTTCGCTGAGTCAGGGTTAGGTCACCACCCACAGTTACAGGAGCAGAGAGGACAACACAAGGCTCTGAGCGCAAAGCACCTGATTCCTTGGTTCTCCCCACACAGGTGTACCCGCGGGATAATGAGAAAGGCCAGGGCAGCCCGGCCGGTGTGGCTCAGTGGCTGAGCGTCAACCCTGCACCAAGAGGTCGCTGGTTCGATTCCGGTCAGGGCACATGCCCAGGTTGTGAGCCCGATCCCCAGTGGGGGGCGTGCAGGAGGCGGCCAGTCCATGTTCTCTCTCATCGATGTTTCTCTCATTCTCCCTCTCCCTTCCTCTCTCTCTCTAATCAGAAAAGCCAGGGTGGGACCGATGCAAAGGTGACAGTGAAGCGGCAACGGCCAGCAAGCAGCAGCCCTGGACACGCGGGCTCCCGGAGAACAGACCAGCCCGGCGAGGAGGCCGCCGGCACAGGCTTGCGGGACGAAAGCAGAGCTTAAGGGGAAGCTGCAGTCACGCTACCAGGGAAGGCGGGGAGCATCTGGGGAGCAGGAACCCCCGAGTGGGGAAGAGCTCAGTGCCTCAGAGGGACCGCGAGGCCGGCCCGGCCAAGGCGTCAGAACAGTGACAGGGATTCGGGGACTTTCTTTGCTCATTTCATTTCCCGATCTGACACTAGCAGTGAATTTGAAGATGACAATCTGAGGTGCAGGGACGAGAGGGCGGTCTCCTCCGCATCACAGAGGGGGTTCCGGGAGCACCCAGGACGGACCCGAAGGCATCCTGTTGCTCCAGAAACAGAGGAAGAGACCCGTCAAAACAGAGCCTTGTCCAGCAGCTGTCTCCACAGGCCTGTGACATTCCAGGCTGGCGTTTCCACACCCAGCAAACCAAGGGGAAATGAAAGTAACCAACACTGGCTTTTGAAAACACACGCGGCTTATGGGAAATCACATCCCGCCGCTCCCCACTGCCACGTGGTCCCTTGGCTTCTACTCACCCAGGAGCACCGGCATCAGAATGAGTTTCAGGGGGCGAAACATGCTGCTCTCGATGTGCAACCTTAGGATAAGGGGAAAAAATCAGAAAGAGTTTCAAGAGAAGTTTTTTAACTTAACAAACCAGCAGTGAGGCCCCCTGTGGGCCAACCTGAGGCCCTGGGCCGCAGCACCAGTTGGCGTGCGCGGGAGAGCGAGGAAGAAACAACGAACGAATGAGGACTAAAACAGCAGACGCTGGTGACAGTGATGCTGAGAGTCACTTGGGGCTGCTTGAGGTTAGCCGTAAGGAGACATTCCGTGAAAGTTGGTCTTCAAGAGACGAGGGGGGATAAAAGCAAGTAACTTCAGAATACCCTTGAGAAGACAGCCCTAGACATTCTACAGCCTGAGAGTTTCCCGGGAACAAATGATTCTAGGATACTCAACCTAAAATTAAAACGACCCTTTATAAACATACAAAGAATATTCAGGACATGTGGGAAAGGAGAAATACAAATTAGGGGAAATATCTGAGCTCAGTTAAAGCATTCGCCACATGAAGCTTTTTTATTTTCTTTAAACTTTTTTAGGCAGGGCAGCAGGCGTGGAATAAGAATTGGGCAGCCCTGGCCCACGCTCAGTTGGTCGGGGCGTCGTCCGGAGACCGAAAGGTCATGGGTTGGATTCCGGGTCAGGGCACGGATCCAGGTTACAGGTTCGATCTCCACTTGGGGCGCTGGCGGAAGGCAACCGGGTGATGTTTCTCTCTCACATCGCTGTTCCCTCTCTCTCTCCTTTCCTTTCTCTCTAAAATCAATAAACATATAAAAAGAAAAAGAGAAAAAGACTTGGCCAGAGTGTTTAAATGTCTACATGATCTCTGTGGTATGAATTTCACTGCCTTCACCAGCCCCTGGGAGAGGAACTCACAGTGCCCCAGAACATTCTCAACAAAACAGAAGGGCCAACTGCCCAGAGTTACCATCCAAACACCTGGCATTCCTACCTGCTCCCGCGGCCGATCTCAGCCGTGGTCCCTGCACCCAAACTTCCCGTCGCTGGAAGAACCTGAGAACCTGCCAGGGCAAAGGTCTTTCCTTGCATTAACATCACAGTCCTCACCCACCCAGCACTTATGGTGGCCATTTTAACTTATAAAAAATTGTTTCCTAAAAGCTTCCGTACCTGTATTCTAATCAGCAAAATCCTTCCTCCGAAAAAGCAGGGTCAAAGAGTTCAAGAAGGTCCTACCTCGGTCCCCACTATGCGGAAAAGCCAGCTGACCTTGCTGAACCTCAGTCTCTCACCTACAACATGGGGATAATGACGCAAGGATCGACTATGGTCATGCAGATAATAGTGCTCTGAAAACTACGAAGCCTTACCACATACAATCCTGTTTTTTTATCACCTAAAAGTCTGACAGGAAATAAGAGTTTGTAGCTTTCAGGGGCGAGTCGGGGGTTCAGAGCACCTACCTTTCTAAGAATGACAAATAATTCATCAGAGTGAACTGGAAACTTTTAAGTTTCCATTCTTGAATCCCGTCACAACAATGTAGATAGTTACTACACTGACTCAGATATACCAAAAGTAACTAAGTTTCCAGGAAGGTAAGTGTATCTAATGAAAGCACAGAGCTCTCTCAAGACAGCCACAGCCAGCCCAGGCGGTGCGGCTCAGTGGCTGAGCATCGATCCCTGCACCAACAGGTCGCTGGTTTGATTCCCGGTCAGGACACACGCCCAGGTTGTGGGCCGGACCCCCAGTGCGGGGCATGCAGGAGGCGGCAAGTCAATGTTCTCTCTCATCAATGTTTCTCTCTCCCTCTCCCTCCCCCTCTCTCTAAAAATAAAGGAGGGGGGAAAAAACACAGCCCTGTTCCTGCTCCATGACACTGCCTCACCCCACACATACATGGGTGAACATGATAAGGTCCCATTATAGCATGTCATACCTTTAGTACCCCCTCCCTGGGACCTCTAGGATCCCTGCCGAGTTCTGGATGAACCCCTCTCCAGGGAGTGGTTCCGCTCCTTCCTCACGGAGAACACCTGCTTTACACGTCTAACACCAAACCACCTCGAGTTTACAACCTCGAGGTCAGAACCATACGGGCCTTACTTATGAGTGTCCCGAGCTGGAGGCCGCAGTACCAGGAAGTGCCGGGCACATACTGGGCCAGTGCAGAGAGCTGCCAGTATGCCCATCGAATCGAAATTGACTCGGTACCCTGCACTGCACCATCTTCTGAGTGGGAACCAGCAACCCCCAGAGACCCTGAATCTCCTCACCACACTCAGGTCACTCAGAGCCACACCCACACCAAACAAGCTCTAAGGAATGGGAAAACAAGATGATGAATTTAAAAAATACCCATTTTTAGTTCTAAGTACTCAAATGCACCGGTGTAAATCAACGGAGAACCGTGTGAATCAACAGAGAAGCAATGACGTAACAAAAACAAAAAAAAAGAACTGAATTTTTTAAACATCCTCTGCCCAAGTCAATTTCCATTAATTCGTTCCCTGATCTTTGGAAAATCACTCCGTCTACCCAGGTCCCCTCCTGAACGCCGAGGGACCGGACCTCTTACAGCACCGCACTGGAGATCAGTGGTTGACATGCAGTGAACCAGTGAGGGGTACACACCAGGCATGTAATTCTCACAACAACCCCAGGAGGTTTTACAGACGAGGAAGCTAAGGCACAGACAGTGACAGCCCAATGACATATTCCAATGACAGCCAGGATTCAAACCTCTCAGCTCCCGGTCCCTCCAGGCCTCTGAAAGTAGCCAATGCTTCAGGGCAAAGCTTCTCTGTTTTTTGTCAAAACAAGAGTATCTGTTTCCCCTGAGTAAATGCTGTCCCCTCCCGCTTCCCCTAGTTAACTCAGTCAGATCTCAAGTTAAATGTCATTCCTTCCTGAACCACCCTTCCTAGGTCAGATGCCTAGGCACACGTTTTTATTTTATTTTCTTTTTATTTATTTATTTATTTATTTATTTATTTATTTATTTTGCAGGAGGGAGAGAGGGAGGAAGAGAGAGAAAAACATGGATGTGAGAGAGACACATTGACTGGTTGCCACCCGCACAACCCCAATTGGGGCCTGGGACAAACTGCAACCAAGTACGTGCCCTTAGCGGGAACCGAACCCGGGTCTCTCTGGTCCGTGGGCCGACGCTCTAACCACTGAGCCAAACTGGCCAGGGCCCTAGGCACATATTTTAATAGTACTACTGGTCATTCCATTGGGGCATCTGTCACAATTTCTAATTATCTATTCTTGGTGTGCTTATTTGATTCAAGTCTTGCTCTCTACCCTCACCCCTCCACGACTATAAGCTCCATGAGGCCAGGGGTTGTGCCACACGGAGAAGGCCCAGGGCGGAGCCCAGAGACCGCACGTCCAACAGCACATTTCACGGTCCTAGGTAGTTAGCAGTACCAGGGGAGCCAAGTCTCGGGGCGCCCAGAGATCCGCCTCTGCCTGCAGCCTCCAGCTACACTCCTAGCAGGGCTGAGCCCCACAGGGTGCAGCTCAGGGCATGGAGCGCAGTCCCACAGACCGAGAGGTCCCGGTTCGATTCCGGGCAGGGCACACGCCCAGGTTGCAGACTCGATCCCCAGTAGGGGGTGTGCGGGAGGCGGCCGATTCATGTATCTCTCTAATTGATATTTCTATCGCTCTCTCTCTTAAAAAATCAATGAAAACATATTTTAAAAAACAACGAAGTGGGGCTATTGCTCCCCGGCCATGCTGCAGAAGCAGCGGGCTCGGCCTGAGAAGACGCTTCTGCGCGTGGGGCGAAGACTCATTCCGCCCGGGGTCCCGGCAGCCGACCCTTCAGCCTCTCCCAGGCCACCACCCTGACTACCCTCCTGCAGCCTGGTCTGCTCTGCCCTCCCTCCAGCGGAGCCCAGGGCAAGAATCAAACGTGTGCTGGCCCTTTCGGAGGTGCCTGCGCCCCTCCCTGGCCACGGAAACCCCACCGCTCTCCACGGCTGGGTGCTAGGGGGGCACCTTTCCCGGTGCTCCAGGCCAGGAGCCCGCTTGGGGTTTAGGAGGCACCCCTGCAGTTGAGCTACCCCTCCGGCACGTCCCAGCCACCACGGGCCGCAGCCCACTCGCGCTCCACACTGCCCCCCCATCTCAGTGTGGCCTCTTCTGTAACCCTTGGTCACAAGGTCCCTCCGGCCAGTCTTCAGCTGCTTCCTCAGGACCACGGTTCTGTGACGTGGCTGTGACCCAGTTCGGTCTGCAAGGAGCGTGGCTTCCCTCACTGCCTACCCATCTCAATGTGGCCTCTTCTGTAACCCTTGGTCACGAGGTCCCTCCGGCCAGTCTTCAGCTGCTTCCTCGGGACCACGGTTCTGTGACGTGGCTGTGACCCAGTTCGGTCTGCAAGGAGCGTGGCTTCCCTCACCTGCCATCACCTTAGTCTGCCTCGGGGTTCTGAATATACGTGTGTGTGCAAATTCTGAATGATATATTTGAACAATCGAACTCTGAACTTTATATATAATACAGCTGACCCTTAATGTGCAGGTTAAGGGCGGTGACCCTCACACAGTAAAAAATCCAAGTCTAACTTCTGACTCCCCCAAAACCACTCATAGCCTGCTGCTGACCAACCCTCCCCTATAGCATAAACAGTCTATCAACACACAGTTTGCATGTTATCTGTATTATATACCGTGTTCTTACAATACAGTAAGGAAAAGAAAAATTTGCTACTAAAAATCGTAAGGAAAACACATTTACCGCTCTATACATATTTATTGAAAAAGTCTGCCTAGCCCTGGCCGGTTTGGCTCAGCGGTTAGAGCGTTGGCCTGCGGTCCGGAGAGACCCGGGTTTGGTTCCCGCTAAGGGCATGTACCTCGGTTGCAGTTTGTCCCCGGCCCTGGTTGGTCGTGCGGGTGGCAGCCACTCGGTGTGTCTCTTTCACATCGATGTTTCTCTCTCCCTCTCTATCTGTGCAAAAAAAAAAAAAAGTCTGCCTATAAGTGTACCCACACAGTCCAAACCCATGCCGTTCAAGGGTTAACTGTATTTCTATACATTAGGCCCTCAAAAAACCTCACTTTTTTAAACATCATTCCATGACAATGTTGATTTAAAAAGAGTGATTCCCAGCCAGTGTCTGTGTGAAGGTTACACGTTCTCCCCAGGTCTGGGGATCTTCTCCAGGGACCTCGGCTCCTCCCACATCCCAGAGGTGTGTGTGTTAGGTCCACGGGCACGACTCAGTGGCCCCAGGCTGGGTGGCTGGGTGGGTGTAGTGGACAGTCCCTGACGGGCCGGCTCCCTGTCCAGGGTGAGTTCCTTCCTTGCCCCGTGAGCTGCAGAGCTGGGCTGCAGCCGCCTGTGCCCCTGAACTAGAAAAAGTGGGCTGGAAAATAATTACCTTACTCATTTTTCTTAATCTCTCCTAAAGGTATGTACAGCTCACTTTTATTTCAATGTTTATCATTAGACACGTTTGGGTCTTGCTTTAGCAGTTTGGTGATGCTTCTGTGAGTAGAAATGCTGTAAAAAGTTAACTCTTGCCTGTATCGGTCTATGGGAAAATCAGTTTCTGTACATGTCTTTTCCTTTAAAGTCTGTTTCCCAGGACTTACTGATGACATTAAGGACATATGGTTTATAAAATAAATCTGTCTTTAAAAATTCACCAAAGCTTCCAGATGCACCTGAATAACAGACTCCATTTGAATTCTCAACTACTAACCTGCTTCCTTCTCCGGACCCTAGTTTGTCTCCTCAACAGATATTCTTTTTTTTTTTTTTTTTGGTACGTGCCCCTAGCGGGAACCGAACCCAGGACTCTCTGGTCTGCAGGCCAACGCTCCAACCACTGAGCCAAACCGGCCAGGGCTCAGCAGATGTTCTTGAGAGAATCCTACATAGTCAGTCACCTCCTGTCTTGGCTAAACACTCTGAGCTCACGGCCCAGGAAATAGCTTCTGTCACTCCTGGGGAGTCGTACCCTCAGCACCCACTTCCCTGTTACTAACCGTGCAGGGGATGAGCATCCTTGACACAGTCACGACGGAAACAAATCTTCGGAGAAGTCACAGCAACGAGGCTACCGCGCAGGGCGCGCAGAGGACCCTCACGCGCTGCAGCGTCACCGGCGAGCGGAGCGGTGCGGTCCCGAGGCGCCTGACCTCGGAGGACAGCCAGCCACGCAGCGAGCACAGCTGCACCCCTGCCCTTCCTCACAGCCTGAGGGGTCCGTGCCCTCATTCGCACAGGGCTGTGCACCTTGGTCTCCGATGTGCTCGAGTACGCGAGTCCACATGACAGTTCTGGGCACACACCTCTCACAAGATCCCACGCGTGTCCTGCCGGGACGATGTCACGCAGACCACAGGCTGCGGGTCCGTAACAGCCAGGCCACGTCCGCCCACCCCCCACGCAGGGCAGCAGGGCAGCTCCTGGGCAAGCACAGTGGGGAAACTGAGAGAGCCCGTTAATCAAGGCCAAACGTGCAGCCAGCTAGTGACTCGCAGCCTCGACCTTCCGTAACCAAGGAGCTTGAAAGCCAATGGTTTCTGCCTCTCCTCCCTCGCTGGAGAATCAGACAGGCAGGTAACGAGGACCCGTTAGTGCCCTGTGCGCCAGCCAGACCCAAGGGCCGCCGAGGTCAGGGGCACGAATAACAGCAGCAGCGAGAGCCAGACAGACCCGAGGTAAAACTGACCAGAGAAACCGCCAGCTCCCCTCTACCCTCACTTTGATGGATCCACATATCCACGGGCACACCTGGAAAACTAACGGATATTCTGTAAGACCCCTCCCTGAGAGCTCCCCCTGAATTCCTGCTCCCAAAAGATAAGAACCCTCAAAACAAGACCCCACGCGGACTCTCTGGAGCGCACCCAAGCCTCTCCTCCATCATGCATTAACTTTCTCCCAAGCGTGAAGGGTCCCCACAGACTTGTGACAGCTCACCCCGATTGTGTCTCCAGGCCCCTTCCCTCTGACTCCCAGGAGCAGGCAGCAGCCCCTCTGGCCCCTTCTGTCCTGTGATGTTTCTCAAGAGCCAAAGCGGAGCCCCACCCGGACTCCCCTGTTGCTTCTTCTACCCTGAGCCCTTCCTGTTTCCCTGCCCCAGCTTAACAGACTTTCTCTCACAATCACCTGGTCTCACTGGGGAATCTTTCCTGCATGAAGTGAAGCACCCACACACTGCAGGCTGGCCTCAGGCAGACCCGAACCCACACACTGCAGGCTGGCCTCAGGCAGACCGGAACCCACACACTGCAGGCTGGCCTCAGGCATACCTGTTCCAGGCCGGTCCCTTTTCTGCCTCAGGGGCCAGCCGTGGAGGTTTCAACGCGATGGCAACCATGGGACTGTGAGGCCCCGTCACAGAACTCAAGCTCTGGGAGCAGAAGGGACCCTGGCCGTCATGAACCCTGCTCACCTTCTGCCCAAGTTACCTAAGCTACAGCAGTCCCTCCGGGACCAGGGCTGCACAGGGCGTGACAAGCAAGGGCTGTAGCCTCGCTCTCTTCAGAGGTTCGAGTCCCTGGCTTCTCAAGGTTAAGAATTAGTCTGTCTGGTATTGAGAGAGAAGCAGTGAAGGCACAGTCTTGCCCTGAGTCCAGAGACAACCTGTCACAGCTCTAGTTTGTGGTTTCCAGCATCAAGCTGAACGTGAAGGTTGATCACCATCACTGACTTGTATCAAGAGCAAACCTTACTCCTCTGTTCTCGGGGGTCCGAGGGTCGGCTGCTCTGCACTGCCGAGGGACCCAGCACCCACCCAGCAGGCTGCCCTCCGAGAGTCCTCGCGCGGAGCTCGAGTTCTGAGACCCGGGCCTCCCGTCCCGAGGGCTGCCCTTGAACTGACACCTTGACCACCGGTCTTCTGAACCGAGGAGCCGTATCACCGCTTAGGAAACCCAAATCGGCTGCTTACCCAAGACGAGGGGCAGCCGAGGTGAGGGGCGCCCAGGAGAACGAGGACTGAGCTCTCCACCGCCGTGGTTCTCGAGTCTGAGTGTCGCCAGCCCAGGTCAGGCTCAGAGCAAACCCCACGCGTGAGTTTGAGGCGGTGACACAGGCACCTACAGGAACCTCTCAAGGCAGGTCCTCACGTCAGTGTCTGAGTTGTCTGACCCAGCACCCGGTTTCCATCAATACTTTCAGGTAATAACAGGTAATACATTCAACTTACCGAGGAGTCGCTCCCACTCCGGACCTCTGCAGAGCCCCCTCCTGGCCAGGTCACCAGCTCGTCGGCAGTGGGGTCTTGAATGGCATCAGGCAGACATCTGCTGAGAAAGAAGCCAGCCCGGTGCACACAACACAACGGTTCAAGATGAATGCAGAACACCGGGCGTGTGCTTCAATGCAGCCACCTCTGGTTTCCCTCTGCACACAGAGGTGCAGCAGGGCGGGTAATCCCCATCCCTGCTGTCTCAGCTGAGCCTGCCCAGTCCCGCCACTCACCCCCTCGGCCGGCTTCCTCTGCCGGCGGCTGCACTTCCCCAAACGCTGGCCTTGCCCTGCCCCGGGAAGCCCTGCGGGCTTGGACACTCGACCCGAGCTCAAGGCTGCTTCATTTCCAGGTGTCTCTGCTTTTAAGTCACCACCTCGAACTAAGCGTTCTCAGGGTACACCCCTCCGCCTTGGCCTACACGTGGGCACGCTTGTTCTGTGCAGTTCGTCCTGTCTCATTTCAAAGCTGTCGAGTGCCGGCTCTTCTCAAGGACTCTGCTCCATGACTCTTGGGAAGTGGTGGGCTGGTGAGCCCGCCCTGGAACCAGAGGCCCCCGTGGCCTTCTGCGAGCTACCAACAGAACAAGGAGGATCTGGAAAATTCCTGAACATTGGGCAACCGGCTCTTGCCAAGGGAGCCGATCCAGCACGCCACGGAATGGATGCAGGTCCTGCCGGGATGCAGCCCAGAGACGCAGGGCTGCTCGGTGCTGAAAACCACAAACGGCCCCTTTCACATGACAGCTCCCACCTCGGATGTGATACACACCAGAAAGCGCACGAGTTTATTGACTGTGATGTGGCAAAGAGAGCAAGTGTTACAATGTCGGTGCATATGGCCCAAGAAAAACGGAAAACACGGTGAAATACAGCAACTAACCGTCCAAGGGCACAGCACGGGGGCCCGGGGGCGGGGCTGCCTCTCCTGGCACGAAGTTCTGAGTTCTGCAATCACAGGGCAGCCTTGGCAACCCTGGGTCCCGTCCCCCCCCCTCCGAGCCGTGCAGCCGGAGCACCCCACTGCAGGATGTGGCCTCCAGCTGTGAGGGCAGGCCGGTGCGCTCCCCCGGAGCCTGGGCGCCTAGTGGGAGCTGCGGAACCACCAGCAAGGCGAGGGTAACGCATGGGAAACGGGGCATGTTGTGAGCTCACATCTGGTAACAGAATTAAGAGCTTGATGCCCAAAACGCAGGGAGTAAGGGACCACCAGTGAGACTGCGGCAGCTGAAGGAAAATGCTGCAAGGCTTTTAACCCTTCGAAGCCTTCAGAATTAACTCCCGTTGCCAGACAAGGCTGGTCTCTACACAGTGTGATAAAAACGCGTGGAGCATCAAAAAGAAAAAAGATGCCCGCCAGTGTGGCTCAGTGGTTGAGCATCCATCTAGGCACCAAGAGGCCACTGGTTCGATTCCTGGTCAGAGCACGTGCCCAGGTTGTGGGCCAAGTCCCCAGTGGGGGCGTGCAGGAGGCGGCCAGTCCATGTTCTCTCTCATCGGTGTCTCTCTCTCTCTCTCCCTTCCTCTCTCTCTAAAATCAATAAAGAAAAAAAGATAAAGACTAGCACCTGGAACATATTAAAACAGTGGGTTAACATACTTTATCCTCCTTCCATCCTCAAGGAAAGCAGGTGCCCGAGCACGGCTCCGTGCTGCTCTGAAGCAGCAGCGCTGTAACCCAGACCTCGAAACCCGGATGGAGGAGGAAACTGATCACAGCCTTGACTGGGGGAGGGACTGAATTACCAACTCACTCTCTTCCCGTGAAGGGCCCCATTGTCCGTTCATTTGTGAAGGGAGGGACTGGCGCAAATCCCGAGCAAGGCTACAAAGTAACACGACTTCAGAGGGTTCGCATAGCTCCGGGCACCCAAAGACAAACACATCACCCGGGCCGAATCCCCACAACATGCCTGGAAGGAAGTAACGTGCAAACCTAGCTAGAACATGTTCCTCATTGAAAGGGATGTGGCTTTGACCGGGTTCTTGTAACATCGTCTCTTTATCGGGCTGCCTCACGGTCGCTCTCTATCTTCAAATCTCCTTGCGCCCAAATGGTGTCTCCTTATCGCCCAGGCTGTTTTCCTCTCGCTGCTGAGGTCCCAGGCTGGTGCAGCAGGTTGGCCCCAAACAACCACAGACTCGACAGGTAGCCCAAGACTGTGAGGTTTTTAACCACTGGAAATTTATCTGCCAATCCTGCCTTGCCACGTCTGCTTCCTTTCGTGACCAGGGGGAAATCATAAAGTCTATTAACTAACCAGACTCTAATCTGTGGACTAGGTTAACAAATGAGGGCAGGGCAAATCGATGAGACAGAGCTAACCACCCACACTGTTAAACACAGATCGTGGAAAAACATTTGTAAGTGGTTTTTAATAACATACGTGGTGTAGAATGCTGCACCATGGAGACCTCCCGAGCCACCTGCGGAGAAGCACGGAGGGGCTGGCCTGCGGAAACAGCAGGGACGGGAGGAGGGATCAGTGTGTGTGTCCTGGCTGAGAAGCGAGCTGTCGCCCCTGCCACAGCGCACAGTCTTAGTGGCTTGTGGAAATCCCAGGAGGTTTCATAGGAAAATAGAGGAGTTGATACAAGGTTTCGAGAGATCAGAAGCATAGGTTAAGCACAGTCTCACTTTCTTCTCTCAAATATTATGTAACAACAGTTTGTAAAGACCTCGGTTCACTCATATTTGGTGCAGTTTAGAACTCGAGTGCCCTGCAGAACAACGCAGGTGAAAAGAACCGTCCACTGTAAATAGCTGGTAGAACTATTCTAGACAGTTCCATACACCTGTTGAAGACTTTTTCCTGCCTCTGACCTTGAAAGTCAAGAAGGGAAGCAGCTGTAAGAAAGTAAAATGGTGCCCTGGCCGGTTTGGCTCAGCAGTCGGCCCGCGGACCGCAGAGACCCGGGTTCGGTTCCCGCTCAGGGCACGGACCTCGGTTGCAGTTCGTCCCCGGCCCCAGTTGGGGTCGTGTGGGTGGCAGCCACTCGATGTGTCTCTCTCACATCGATGTTTCTCGCTCTCTCTCTCTCTCCTCCCTCTCTCCCTCCCGCTCTATCTGACGATAAGTGCAAAAATGCCCCCGGGTGAGGCGGAAAAGGGAAGTACAAGGCGCGCTGCACCTGGCAGGACAAAAGAGCAGCCCCTGGGTCTCCCCAGGCCTTCGCTTCACTGGAGACGCCGGCGCCCTGAAGGCCCGGGCAGGGCAGACGCCTGCCCCAGCGTGAGGGAGATTCGTGCCGCACAGTCCGCGGCACCCACACTGTACAAGCCGAGCGTGAGCTCGCAGCTGCGCATGTTCACAGAGCAGAACACAGAATACCTGCCCCCCAACCATTCCGTCTGCTAGTACCTCAGGAAGCTACAAGCTTCGTTTCATTAAAAATACAGTATCTTGGCGTCAGAAGTTTGGCCAGTGTCTAGGATTCTCCCTCAAGTAATTGGAAGAAAACATGTAATACATTCAAGATCAAAGGTGAAATAAAGAGTATCTTTCTACCCAGGAAAAGAATTGCTTCATTCAGTAGAGATAAGGTATAAAAAGGGGTAGTCGCGAGTCTCTTCTGAAAGTTCCCGCGGTGTATAAATACGAAGGGAACGTTTCGTCAATAAATAAGCGCTCCCCAAGGGGTCCCGAGGGCCGGGCGCCCTCCCTGCCGTCCGGCGGGCTCCGCGCCCCAGGCCTTCCTGCCGGCAGATGGCGGCGCTTCTGCTCCGGCGACTCCTCAGGACACGACCCTCCATCAGTACGCCTCGTCGTAGTCTGAGTCCTAGGGAGGAAAGGACACAGCTGTGTGTGCATGTGGACTATGACGACACCCAGAATTTGGCTGAAGGCCGCGCGTGAGGGTCCCCCGTGGAAGCCGGTTTGGGCCACATCAGCAGCGAGGCGGCCCAGGCTCACACCTGAGTTCCCACGAGCAGCCCCGGGCCTCGACAGCTCTGGAGTCCATCGGGCGAATCTCTACTTTGAAACCCAACGCGCTCCCTTTCCCTTGGCGGATACTTTCTGAATCCTCAACACAGTGAACAGGTGCCCGTGTGCTACCGGGACCGTAGCCTGGAGTTAGGCTCGGAGTCGGCTGCCTCTGGGTTTTAATCCCGTACAGGCTTGAGGAAAATGATTTAACCCCTAAGCCTCAGTTTCCGCATCTGTGAAATGGGGATGATAAAACACTGACCCCGCAGAGACCAGCTCTGAGAACTGAATGAGACAGCGTATGCAAACCCGAGGCTGTGCCTGGCTCTGTGTAAGTGCCCATACTCGAACTCACCCTGTCGCTTCAAACCTCGAGCGGCCGCTGACCACACCCCTCTTGCCCATGCCTTCTGTTCTCCTACACGACTTTTCACACCTTTCCCTCCTCCTCACGTCCCCAGAATCTCCTCCTCACTTCATCCTCAGCTGATGAGCCTGCTTGCTCCTGTCACGGGAACATACGCAGGCCGCACGGAACCTCCACAGCCTCCCATCACCATGGTTACCCGCCCACCTGCCAGGTCTGGCCCCACCTACTCGGCCTCCCCTCTTCTTAGGATGCACTCGCCCCGCCCTTGTCTAAGGACAGCATCTTCCCTGTGCTGACCCGGGAGCCACCCCGGCAACCCTCGCCTCTCTTCCTGCAGTGTCTGGTCTGCCTTCTCTGCTGGCTCACCATTTACAAATGGGCCATAAGTTTTCCCATCTCAAAAAGAAAAGCACCTCCTAACACACATCTCCTCTCCCTACGGCCCTGTTTCAATGCACCCCTCCACAGAAACGCTCCCTGAAAGAGGTGTTCACACCCAGTATCACCAGGAAACGTGTCCGTCTTCTTTCCCCACCTTACCCTGGTCCGGCTTCCAGCCACTGCTCCACTGAAGGGGCTGCTGCCAAAGTCACCGATAGCTCCGCAGTACCAGGTCCCCGAAACGCAGCGCTCACTCTGCCTGGCCTGCCTCAGCAGCCATCGGCACCACCGTTCCGTTTTCCCTTCTTGGCCCCCAGGATGCCAACTCCTGGTCTGCCTCCTGCCTCCCCGGACAGGCCTTCCTGCCTCCTTTGCTAATCCCGCCTCATCTCCCGGTCTATCAGCCTTGGAGAACTCCAGGGCTCAGTCCTTGGGCCTCCTCTCTCTATGCTCAGCTCCCTGGTGGAAACAGCTCTACCTAATGATTCCTAGACTTACATCGCCAGTCTAGACCTTCTGAACTCCACACCTATGAAGCCAATGCCTGCTCCACACCTCCACCTGGATGTTTAACAAGTATTTCAAACTTAATACATCCAAGCTCTGCCTGGCTGGTCTGGCTCCGTGGTTGAGCATTGACCCTGCACCAAGAGGTCACCAGTTCGATTGCCGGTCAGGGCACATGCCCAGGTTGTGGGCCCGATCCCCACAATCAATGTTCTCTCTCATCGATGTTTCTCTCTCTCTCTCTCCCTCTCCCTTCTTCTCCCTCTAAAATCAATGAAGAAAAAAAAATTTTAAATATATATCCAAAGTCTGCTCCTGAAAGGCCTCCTAAACCTGTTGCACCCACAGACTTGCACATATTAGAGAAAAGCAACTCTATTCTACTAGTTGCTCCAGCCCAGAACCTCGGAACAACCCGTGACGCCCCTCACTCCTGCTCCTGCACATGCAGCCCCGGAGCAGCTCCTGCTGGCCCGCCCCCAAAGTGCGGCCCATGCGCCCCCTCCCCCGGCGCCTGCCAGACCGGCAGCCGCTCCTGCACCTGCCTCGCTGCTCACGTCTCCCGACTGGGCTCTCCGACCCTCACGGTCCCGTAACACATTCTCAACGCAGAAACCGGAACGACCCTTTTAAAACGTACATCAGGTCACCCAGGCCGGTCTGGCTCAGGGTTAGAGCGTCAGCCCACAGACCAGAGTCGCGGGTTCGATTCCAGTCAAGGGCATGCAACTCGGTTGCAGTTCAGTCCCCGGCCCTGGTCGGGGTCACGCGGGAGGCAACCTATCGATGTGTCTCTCTCACATCGATGTTTCACTCTCTCCCTCCCGCTCTATCTGAAGATAAATGAAAACATATCCTTGGGTGAGGATTAAAGAAAAACAAACACATACACTCGTTCATAGTTCTCTTGTCAGAAACCACCAGTGGATTCTGCTGCATCGAAATGAAGGTCCAGGTCACCACAATCACTACAACACTACGACAGGACACATGTCTCTGAGGAAGTACAGGGGTGGGCAGAGTTTATTCTTGTATTATTATTGTTGTTGTTTTGTATTCTTTTTTTTTTTCTTTTTTTTAATCCTCACCCGAGGATATTTTTCCATTTTTTGTTCAGGTAGAGTGGGAGGGAGAGAGAGAAAGGGAGAGAGAGAGAGAAACATCGACGTGAAGGGACACATTGAGTGGCTGCCACCCGCACGACCAACCAGGGCCGGGGACAAACTGCAACCGAAGTACGTGCTCTTAGCGGGAACCGAACCCGGGTCTCTCTGGACCGCAGGCCGACGCTCTAACCGCTGAGCCAAACCGGCCAGGGCTTGTTTTGTATTCTTACTCATGACTTATGTTAGGTATTGAGGGGCAGTCATTTAAACACAACCAACAAAAGGGGTGCTGACACCTACGCTGCCCCCCCTGGACTGCTCTTCCCGGGCCTCTCCATTCCCCCCACACTGCCCCACGCGGCCAAGGACACGCCACGCCGGCCCGTCCAGAGCCTGCGCGCCCTTCGCTGGCCGGCACTGCTGCTCCACTCAGCCAGCAGGCTCTGTACTTCTCGGGGTGTCTGCCCAACACCATTCCAACAGGGTATCCCCGACATCTCCTTACTGTCTCATCTCCCTTGCCTACTTCACGTTTCTCTACAGCACTAAGAACCGTGTGATATGCTACACATTTCACCTATTTTTACATCTTAGTTATTTTTTGGACCCAAATCAAGAGTAGGTGACATTTCGGTGGGGTCTTGGAGGTGGGTTTTCCGGGCGTGCAGAGAACGTAGGTTCTGCGGTCCAGATGTCAGGCAGGGAAACACGGCATCGCCTCCTCCCACAACCACATCAAAACTACAACTAAACTACACAACCCTCACTCAGAGCCGCCGACACCCGGCTGAGCAGAAGTCCTACAGCTAAGAATCTACAGAAGCAGCCACATCGAGACGGGCTGGTCCCACACCCACATGTGGCAGATAAAAACTGGGAGGGACATCTCAGCTGCTGAGGTCCCCCCTGAAGAGCAGGAAGTCCCAGCCCCACACCCCAGCTGGGTTCCAATACTGGGAAGAGACGTTCCCACAACTTCTGGCTGTAAAACCAGCAGGGACTGTGGCTGAGTGAGACCAAGGGCAGCTGGAGCCCCAGGCTGCTCCTCTTAAAGGGCCCACGCACGGACTCACAGACTCGCTCCCTCTGAGCCCCAGCATGGGGACAGCAGCTCGAAAGGCACCAGGGACCTGCGGGGAGGAGCTGAATTGTCCGGCGTCGGGGTGAGAGCTGGAGGGGCAGCTTCCCCCACAGGGACAGCAGGCAGAGGCCATCGTTCCTGTTCTGAGCCCGGACCCACAGAGCTGGCAGCGGGCACCATGTCTGAGTCTCCATCAACCTGGCTCTTCATCTGCCCCGCCCTGAGGCCCACCCAAGCCTTTTCCATACTAACAGCCTGTCTTGGCTCAAGCTTCAGACGTGCCTAAAATTTCTCAAACAAGCAGCAGCTGACCTCAGCGAGCCCCACACCTCTCGCTAAGTGGCCCCAGGCCCGGCGCTAGCAGCAGCCAGCCTTGGTTCACAGCTTGGCCTTGCTTGGGCACCGCCAAGCCCAGCACAAGGAGCAACCACCTGCAGATCCCTTTATAGCTCCCAAATGGACCTGGGCAGACAACAGGTGGCAGCTGACCTTGCCTGCACCTTCTGGGAGGCTCCAGAGCCAGTGTACCAGGTGGACAGCCTCTGACCAAGTTGAAGCACCACCCAACCACCTCCACAAAAGACACCGCTCAAGGGGCAGACTCAGCAGGCACCAGAGCCCCACTGAAGTGAGTCCCGCTCCAGGGGGGCCCCCCGCACAGCTGACCCTCCTAGTGGTGGCAGCCAACTGACCTGGCAGTAGATCTCTCCCGCCCACATGAGTGTGCCCACAGCAATCAAGGCTCAACTACAGCAGGAGGGACAGTCGCATCTACACAGCCCACAAAGGTGGGGCACACCTGGAGAACCCAGCTCAGAGACTGTGTCACTAGAACCTACAGGACACCTGCTACATTAGGCCACTCTCCCAAGCCTAGGAGACATAGCAGTTCTTCCTAATACATAGGAACAAACACAGAGAGGCAGCCAAAATGAGGAGACAAAGAGACATGTCCCAAATGAAAGAACAGAACAAAACTCAGAAAACAAACTAAACAAAAGAGAGACAAGCAATCTACTGGATGCAGAGTTCAAAACAATGGTTATAAGGATGCTCAGTGAACTCTGGGAAGAGCAGACGAACTTAGCGAGAACTTCAACAAAGAGACAGGGAACAGAAACGAACCAGTCAGAAATGAAGAGTACATTACAGGGAATCAACAGTGTAGTGGACAAAGCAGAGGATTAAACCAGAGGTCTGGAAGATAAGGGGGCAGAAAACACCCAATCAGAATGGCAAAAAGAAAAAAGAATCCAAAAAGAGAATAGGACAGTATAAGGAGCCTCTGGGACAACTTCAAGCGCACCAACATTCACATCATGGGGGCGCTGGAAGAAGAGAGCAAGAAATTGAAAACCTATTTGGAAAAAAAAATGACAGAAAACTTTCCTAACCTGGTGAAGGAAACAGACATACAAGTCCAGGAAATGCAGAGAGTCCCAAATAAGAAGAACCCAAAGAGGCCCACACCAAGATACATCATAAATAAAATGCCAAAAGTTAAAGACAAAGAGAAAATCTTAGAAGCAGCAAGAAAAAAGCAGTTAGTTACCTACAAGGGAGCTCCCATAAGATTGTCAGCTGATTTCTCAACAGAAACTTTGCAGCCAGAAGGGAGTGGCGAGAAATACTCAATGTGATGAAAAGCAAGGACCTACAATCAGGATTACCATACCCAGCAAAACTATCAGTTAGAACTGAAGGACAGATAAAGAGCTTCCCACACAAGAGAAAGCTAACAGAGTTCACCACCACCAAACCAGAATGACATGAAATGTTAAGGGGTCTTCTTTAAGAAAGAGTGGGGGGAAAAAAAAAGATAAAAAATATGGATAAAATTGCAATGAATACATTATCTATCAATAACCGACTTTAAAAAACACAGCAAACAAACAAGCAGAACAGAAACAGACAAAAATACAGAGGACGTTTTGACAGTTGCCAGATGGGAGGGCGTTTGGGGACGGGTGAGAAAGGCGAAGGGACTAAGAAGTACAAATTGATTGTTAGAGAGCAGTCCTGAGGATGTAAAGCACAGCGTAAGTGATACCAATAATGTCCTAGTAACTATTTCCTAAGTACCCAGAACGTATCTGGCGTATGTCAGATCCTCCGTGAATAACTGTTGCATGAATTAACATCTGAAATGTAGGTAATAATATTATACATGTTAACTTATTTTGTGTTATCAAAATATCCTACCCCCGAAGGGCTGGTATTAGACCCTCTCCACTGGCTCTACCAGCCTTCCCCTCACCGCACCTACTATACCACGTCCATGCGAGAAAGAAGAGACACTGCAGGAAGCAGGCTGTGTCGTCCGGCTCAGTGCTCAGCTTGCACAGAGAGGGCTCAGCTCTAGCCCTGAAATGGCAGGTATGCTTCCTACTAGGTCATAAGCTGCTTCTGACCTGTTTCCAAACAGACCGTATCAGAATCGTCATTCCCCCAGCGTCCTGGGACGGCCACAGAAGCCTCCCAGTCCCCGCGGGTGCTCAAGGGGAGGGGCGGCCTGCTGAAATTTAAATAAAAATTCAGGACTTCCAACCTGAGTATTTCTTATGGACAGATCCATCAGGTCAACCAAAGGCTACACCACTCTACTATCCTGGGGGGAGAAACAAAACGGAGCCTCATCCACTGTGCGGATGGAGACCACTCAGCAATCAGACTGTCGACGTCACCCTGAAGGCCCACGGTCACTGTGAAGCCCCAGAGCCCCCTGGGGAGGGACTCCAACCACATCCACGTAGCACTCAGTGTCCTCGGAAAGGAAAGAGGCGACTCTGGATGGACAGCTGGGGGACTAGAAAGGAGCTGACCGCCGGCAGTCACGTCTGTGCGCTTCCCCACCACCGTCTTCCTTTCGGAGAACGATTCTCTTGTTGAAATCAGAAATTTCTTGGGCCAAAAATACATCCATAGGGTTCGGAGGAGGTCAGGTGCTGCTTGTTCAGTATCTCAAGCCCAGAAAGATGAGCTGATTCTCGAAGGAAATGACACTGAACTTGTATCAAATGCAGCTGCTCTGATTCAGCCAGCCACGGCCGTTAGGAACAAGGGTATCAGAAAAAATGTGGACGGTATCTACGTTTCTGAAAAGGGAACAGTTCAGCAGGCTGACGAATAAGATCTAAGTTGTCCAACTATAGAAACAGCACATGCCAGACGGATCCTCCCTTATCTGCAATATTCTAAAAATGCACTGAAGGCCATGGATTGAAGAAGAAAACACTGAGGGTCGCAGAAAAGTTCAGCTCCGGGCCCGGATCCCGCCCGTCGCAGCCCCCCAGTGTGGCCTCGGGCAGAGGACGCTCCTCTTTCAGCGTGTTGTCAGCCAGCAGGACCGTGCTGCACAGTCCCCTGCCCTAACCTAAAGACACCACGCTGTGCCCATGAGACAGAGACCAAAAATAACAATGGGGGGCTGACACCAAAAAGACCTGGGTCGATGCCATGCTTTGGACCTACTGGCCTCACCCTGCTCCCTCTGAGGGCAAAGGGCCCCCCCCCCCCCCCCGCAGTCAGCAAGGACGGGAACCGTGAGCAGGGGACAGAGGAGACGTCGTGAGCTTACCACGCACTCGGCGCAACGGACACACAGCCTCGCCATGCAGTCGGCCCCCTCCTCTTGGTCAGTGCTATAAAGAAGGACAAAGCACACTGAGACCTCACCCGCGCAATACAGCAGAGCAGTTAAAACACCACCAGCGCAATACAGCAGAGCAGTTAAAACACAGGCACTGAGGTCAGACAGGTGTGGCGCTGAATTCCAGTTCTGCCACATATCAGCGGGGTGACGAGGCGAATTACTTAAGCTCCAGGAGCCTGTGTCCTCGTTTATAAAGTGCAGATATTACTCGCTCTGCTTAAAGGACAGGGTTGGGAGTGAATAAAAAAGAGACACGTGTAAAACACACCCCACACTGCCTGGTACATAGTAAGTGCTCAGTAAACAGGAGCTAGAAATGTCCTGAGCACCAGGCAAGTCCGAGGCGCTGGGCTGGGCTGGGACAGCATAGACAGAGCACAGTCCCTTGAAGAGGTCACCGCCTCATGGGGTGAAAGACCTGCCGACACTTCGCAAGTGTGTTGAAACACAACGTGACACATGTTTCAGGGCAATTCAGGTCAAACTGCTGTGGCAGTGAAGAGGGGGAGGGACCAGTTCTCCCTGCAGAACTCAGGAAAACTTAAGAGAAGGAGACCTTTCCGCTGGGTCTTGGGGCACCGGAAGAGAATTCCAGGGGAAACAGGGCGAGGAGGGGCCCGGTGGGAGGGCAGGTGGGCGCGGCCTGCGTGAGCCAGGCATGCTGAGTGGAGGGGAAGCTCGGTGCAGCTGGGACCAAGCGGGAACAGTGGGAAACCATGGACCTGGAGTTCCTGCTAATCCTGTTCGGAACCAAAGAGTCGTACAATCTGGTTTCCAAAGCAGGACACCAGAACCACACTGTCCACTCCTCCACCTTCCTCCAAACTGCAGGCTCGCTTTCAGCCCGTCCAGTGCTGCTCAGCAGAACCTCGCTGGTCAGGAGGTTTCACCAGCAGGACAGAACGCGGCCCAGCAGCGAGAAAGGCGCGGGGGCCGGGCCTGGTGCCCGCTACAGAGCAGGGTCTGAGGAGGGAACGGCTCCCTGCCAGGCTGCAGCTGCACGTACTCATCCGACACCTCGATGGACGACTTCTTATAGCCGGACTTGCTCCTCTTCTTCAGCCCCGCGGACTTCCTGCCCATGCGCACCAGCAGCAGGACGGCCACCACGGCCGAGGGGATGAAGACGAGAATGGAAAGAAGGGCCACAGAGGACAGCATGGTGCCAAAGCCTAGAGGAGAAGAGAAGTTAGAGAGAGGACATGCAGGGAAGTCTCCTCCGAACGAGACAGGTTTGACTTCTGCATTTCTTCATTACAAAAGGAACAAATTCGATGTAAAAAGTGCACATACAAAAAGAATAAAAATTGACCCATAACCCTACTACCTAGGATTAACACATTACTATCTACTCATTCGGTATTCTTGCTGAGCATATGTGAATACAGGTCTGCATGCAGGGAGGACCGTGTCTACTTTTAAAAGGATAAATCATAGCCCTGGCCGGTTTGGCTCAGCGGTTAGAGCGTTAGCCTGCGGTCCGGAGAGACCCAGGTTCGGTTCCCGCTAAGGGCACGTACTTCGGTTGCAGTTTGTCCCCGGCCCTGGTCGGTCGTGCGGGTGGCAGCCACTCGATGTGTCCCTTCACATCGATGTTTCTCTCTCTCTCTTCCTCTCTCTCCCTCCCACTCTATCTGTACAAAAAATGGAAAAATATCCTCGGGTGAGGATAAAAAAATAAATAAAATAAAATAAAAGGATAAATCATAGTTTACATACTATTCCTAACCTCCTATTTTCCCTACTATATGGTAAGTACTTTCTATGTCATTGAAAGTTCCTTCCAGCTGTGACCTTTTTCATGGCTGCATAGTACTCCATCGTGTTGAGTAGTTTAATGGATCAGTCCTCTAATGGGGGCATCCAAGTCACTTCCAGTTCTCTGGATTTATGAATTATATTATGATGATCATCCTTGTACATAAAGTTTCATGTTTAGCTCTATTTCTTCAAGATAGTTTTAAAATGGGATTCTACATTAAGGGGTGTATACTTTTAAGGCATCTGGATCATACTACCAACTGTCATCCAGAAAAACGTATCAGGTTCTACTCCCACCACCAGTATGAATGTGCTCATGTCTTTGAAACTTATGGGTTATTGTTTTAAACATATATCTGTGTACGTATAATGCAGTCTGTGTCCCTAAGTCTTTGGTTCAAATCCAGCCGAGGACTAGAACGCCCACTCTAGTCACCAGGGAACAATGCAGATGAACAGGTTAGTCCTCAGCCTACTCCTTCTGTTGCCCTGAAGGAAACGGCTGGTCTTTGCAACGTGGAAGATGTGCCGCCTCCGCCACTGGGGTCGGAGGGACCCTCTCAAGATACCGGCAAGGGCGCCGTCTCGTAACCGAGGGCGTGAACATATTAGGGAAGCCAGGATGGCTTCTACTTCACCGAGACAACGACCCTCCCTTTATTCAAGGACTTGTCACACGCTGTCCACAAGAGCTCTGGTCACCTGAAATCTCATTAAAAGAGGAAATTGGAGAGACTATGACAGTACTTGAAGGAAGACTTTAGTTTCAAGGTAAAGAGTTAACAATGCATCCCACTGGACAGCTCAGGACGGCAGAGTGCCCTGGAGACCAGCTGGCTCACGAAGCCGGTAGCTCCGCTCACAGCCGGCCCCTCCAGAAGCCCTCCCCAGCAGGGCAAGGGGGTGGCAGCGGGCGGCTCACCCCGCTCTGTGACTGTCAGCTCGGTCATGGGGATGTTGTGGTGCACGTCCGGGGGGTTCTTCACGGCGCAGCTGAACGTCCCGTTGTCCCTCAGGGTGGGGTTGCTTATGCTGATGGACGCGTCCCCTTTGTACACGTCCCCGACCCAGGAAACCCGGTCCCGGAACGTGCCCGCGGTGCTTGGGTACTGGAAGGACTGGTAGTGAAAAATCTGAGGAAGCAACACACGGGAAAGTTAACTTGGACGATGTAACAGCAGGTCTGAAACAGAACACAGACGTGTAACGGGTTTCTCGGCTGAGCACGCCATCCTTTGGGTTAGAAGACAGGTTAGGAAACATCAGGAAAGGGCCTGATGGAAGAATAATGGTACCCTAACTCTGGGACCCCCTCTAAATCCTCCCTCAAGCCCCAAAGCAGCAGTTCTCCGCCGAGGGCACCTTTGCCCTCCAGGGCACGTCTGGCATATCTGGAGATCTTTGGCTGTCACGGCGGGGGGGGGGGGGGGGGGGGGGGCTAGTGGCATCTGGGGGGAGAGGCCAGGGATATTACTAGAAACCCGACAAACTAGGACATCCCACAACCAAAAAGCATCCAACTCCAAATGTCAACAGTGCCAAAGCCGAGAACCCCACTCCAGAGCAGCACCTAACATCCACCCAGTACTGTACGGTGTGCTAACAACTGCGCACGCACTCATTTGAGCCTCACAACACCTGTAGATGGGCAAGTATAATCCTTCCAGATGTACAGGAACGGAAACAAGACCAACAACAAAAAAACTAAGTGAGTTATTCAAAGGCACATGGCTAGTGAGAGGGAAAGGGAAGATTTTTATATATTCTCAAAATCACCAGGAGGGTATAATATAATCAAGCCTCTCTCAAGTTATCTCTCTTGGCAATGAACAAAAATCCCAAGTCAGCCCTGGCCGTTTTGCTCTGGGGTTAGAGCGTCGGTCTGCAGTCTAGAGACCTGGGTTCGGTTCCCACTAAGGGCACGTACCTCAGTTGCAGTTTGTCCCCGGCCCTGGTTGGTTGTGCGGGTGGCAGCCACTCGATGTGTCCCTTTCACGTCGATGTTTCTCTCTCTCTCTTCCTCTCTCTCCCTCCCACTCTATCTGAACAAAAAATGGAAAAATGTCCTCGGGTGAGGAAAACAAAAGTCCCAAGTCAAACGCACGACCGGCACTCAGAGAACGCGTACTGATGACCGAAGCTGCTCCAGACGGCGACCGGGCCCTCCGTCGCCAGGAGCACCGAAGTGTCCCCGCTGGTAGGCCCAGCAGGCAGAGCCCGATCGCTCTCCTCCACGAGGCAAGGCTTCCTCCTTCTTTGTGTACCTGGTACCTCCCTACTCAAGAGAACCGCCCAGAGTAAAGGGCGACCTTCCGAAGAAGATGCTGGATCCCTACGGGTTCGTTTGTTCACTCATTCACTCAGCAAACACGCCCCGCACACCTACCGCGTGCTGGGCACTGTGCTGGGCCAGAGGGGACAGCGGAGCCACACAGCACAGACCCTGCGCTCACGGACCGGACAGCGGGCGGGAACTACAGATGTCGATAATAACGATGTGTGTCGTGTGTTCCACAGAGGGAGGCAAGGATGATCGGCGTCAGCAGAAAGGGTGTGGAATCCCTCACTGACGAAACTAGGTCAGCTGGGTCCCCTCCACGCACCTAACCTCTAGTCCAAGTGAAGTCAGTGAGACTCAGACCCTGCTAACTGATTGGTCTGCCAGAACCCTGGCTGACTGCATAACGGCAACAGCATTCTATGTGCCTTTATTTCTCTAATTTTTACAAAATCCTCCCCCGAGGATATTCTTCCATTTCTCTTCCGATTGAATGGGAGGGAGGGAGAGAGAGAAACATCGAGGTGAGAGGGACCCATCAACTGGTTGCCTCCTGCACAACCCAACCAGGGCTGGGGACTGAACTGCAGCCGAGGTACGTGCCCTTGGCCGGAACAGAACTCGTGACTCTTTGGTCCGTGGGCTGATGCTCTAACCACTGAGCGAGACTGGCCAGGGCAGACTATGAGACTTGAAAGGCCCACTGATCCCAAGCTAGGTGACTGCCTCGCAGCCCAGCCTCACGGAGAAAGCACCAGCTTACTGTCTGCATCCAAGGTTTCTGACCTGAGAAATTCCCCATGGCTGCCTCCGACCTACTTTTGGCCAAGGAGGCAGAGTTAAATAAGGCCAGTCATAGTTTCCAACCCTAGTTTCCAACCAGTGAACTATTTTAAGTCTAAAGAAAAAGAGAACCATGAATACAGCCTAGCATCCTTCCCTACAGCCCCCTACCCAGCCCCACGCCACACGGCATTCAATCATGGCTCCCAAGACAGAACTCAAAGCTGTACACTAAAATCCAGCCAAACGTTTTCCCAATGAAGGGAAGAGGAGAAACAAATGAAAGATACTTTCAAAATACACCCTTATATTCAGCTATGACATTCACACTTTTTTTTTCTTTATTGATTTTTATAGGGAGAGGGAGAGAGAGAGAGAAGCATCGATGAGAGAGAACATCGATGGTCCGCCTCCTGCATGCCCCGCACTGGGGATCAGGCCCACAACCTGAGCCTGGGCCCTGACCAGGAATCGAACCGGCAACCTCTTGGTGCCTGGGTCGCGCTCAACCACTGAGCAACGTTCACGTTCTTGACAGCATCTCTCCTGAGCCAAGGACACCCCTACCCAGCCTCAAGGGAAAGGGTTCCTACAGCACTGCCGTCTTCAGTCAGACAGCCACCATGGGATCTGAACCATAAGTGTGTTTTATATGTGTGGCCAAAGCATACTGTCTCCAACACTGCAAGGCCATCTGTCGCCAACACAAGGGGCCCCCACTTCCTGCAAAGGGAACTAGAAATCAGTGCAGACGTTTACACAAGGGGAGGTGCCAAGGTAAATCCAGGGTGCAGAGGGAGAAGCAGGCACACCCACCGCGACGCCTTCGCACGACAGGAAGCGAGCAGCTCCGAGGCAAAGGCTGTCTACGCCTAGGACCTACGAGCTCTGCCGTCCAGCGGTCCTGGGGCGCCACTGCCTCGCACACGGACCTGGAAGTGAAGCTACAAAGCCACGCAAAGAGAAACAGCAAAGGGGAAACAGAAGTAAACCCATTTCCTCTCGATTACTGACCCCGTTTGTCCTCTAGCCTACTTGCAAAACTCTTACAGAGAAGAGTGATGGCCTTGCGTGGCCAAGTGGACATCAGGTGGGGAGACACTCATCTTCCGTTCTGAGATGAGAGTGCTGGGCTGGGACTAGAAGGGCCCCGGGGCTGGCTTTCTGTGCACACACTTACGGACTCTGTGCGGCTGCTGCTGGGGGGTCGGTACGTCCAGTCTATGGTGAGCTTGTCGGTGACAGACGAAGTGGACTTGAAAGTGCATTTCAGCTTGACCTTCTCTCCGACGTAACCCCGGACATGGGCGTCCGCTTTAATCTCCAAGGAAAGGACGATGTGAACACCTGATCATGACAAGCCGGGACATTCGAAACATTTTCATCTGGGCGGAATACATGGACGACTGAACAAAGTAAAGATGCTGTTCATCATTTTGAGGGCTCTCCTCAAAACCACAGCTCTGTCTTCTCACGCAAGCCCAAGAGAGACAAGGAGTGCTGTCTGCACTACTCCAGGACAGTGTTCCTGTCGTTTTACCATATTACACCACAGGAAGAATGCTTGGGTAGACATTAAAAAGCTGGGTGCACCAGCATTTTTCCGAATACAGACTTGTGGTTATATTAGGCACAAACAGCCCTGGCCGGTTTGGCTCAGTGGTTGGAGCATTCGCCTGCGGACCAGAGTCTGGGGTTCAGTTCCCGCTAGGGGCACGTACCAAAAAAAAAGTAGGTACAAACAAGTGGGTCAGCCCACAGCGGGCTGAAAGACAATACCTCCCACGCCGCACACTCCGCTCGAGAGCGCGCTCTCTCCAGGAACACGTCAGCGGCTGCGGTCTAGGGGACTTACCATGCAGCACGGGCTACCACTGCCTCGACCACCAGCAAAAGGAGAAAAGAAAACAAGAACAGGACTTTTTTTTTTTTTCCAAAGAATTTTATGAAACGGGCCTAAGGTTCTACTTGGTTTTGTTTTGCTTCGTTTTCTCCCTCTTGAAGCTGGTCAGTGAATCACATATGCACTCAGAGGACATCAGGGGAGGGAGCAGAGCAACTCACGCAGCCTAAATGTCAGGATCAGGTGCTGCCACAGCCGGGGGCTCCGCGGTTAGAGGGCCGGCCCAAGGACCCACGGGGCTCACGTCTGATTCCCAGTGAAGGGCACGTACCTGGGTTGCAGGTTCGATTTCCGGCCCTGATCAGGGTTGTGCAGGAGGCAACCAATCAATGTGTCTCCCTCACACCGATGTTTCTCTCTCTCCCTCCCTATCCCTTCCTCCCAACCTCCCTGCCACTCTCTCTAAAAAAAAACAATGGAAAAATATCCTAGGGTGAGGATCAACAACAACAACAAGAAAAATAAGGTATCATTTCTAAATTCTCTCACTCTTTCCAACAGCAGCTCATAATAGCCAACGTCGATGTTCCATTACCCTCAGGAGCCGACACATCTTCTGACCACCCCCTCTCAGGGAGCTGTTCCCCCAGACACTGAGCACCGCTCCCCGGACAGCGAGCACCGCTCCCCCGGACAGCGAGCACCGCTCCCCCGGACAGAGAGCACCGCTCCCCCGGACAGCGAGCACCGCTCCCCCGGACAGAGAGCACCGCTCCCCCGGACAGAGAGCACCGCTCCCCCGGACAGCGAGCACCGCTCCCCCGGACAGAGAGCACCGCTCCCCCGGACAGCGAGCACCGCTCCCCCGGACAGAGAGCACCGCTCCCCCGGACAGCGAGCACCGTTCCCCCGACAGAGAGCACCGCTCCCCCGGACAGCGAGCACCGCTCCCCCGGACAGAGAGCACCGCTCCCCCGGACAGCGAGCACCGCTCCCCCGCACAGAGAGCACCGCTCCCCCGGACAGCGAGCACCGTTCCCCCGGACAGAGAGCACCGCTCCCCCGCACAGAGAGCACCGTTCCCCCGGACAGCGAGCACCGCTCCCCCGGACAGCGAGCACCGCTCCCCCGGACAGCGAGCACCGCTCCCCCGGACAGAGAGCACCGCTCCCCCGGACAGCGAGCACCGCTCCCCCGGACAGCGAGCACCGCTCCCCCGGACAGCGAGCACCGCTCCCCGGACAGCGAGCACCGCTCCCCCGGACAGCGAGCACCGCTCCCCCGGACAGCGAGCACCGCTCCCCCGGACAGCGAGCACCGCTCCCCCGGACAGCGAGCACCGTTCCCCCGCACAGTGAGCACCGGCACATCGCTGCCCTGACTCCTCCACCGCAGCGCAGCCCGGACGCAGCAGCCCCAGCTGCCCCCAACCGGCGGACCCTCCAGCAGAGGGGTGCGCGCCCCGAGTGTCACTGGCAGCCCCCCCGTCTTCACAGCCACCTCACTGCTTCCATCTCTCTCAGGGCGCTCCTGTGAGGACGAGGGGTCATGACCCACACGACACTGAGCACCTGCCGCATGCGGGCTAGGTGGCTTCACCATCGCCACCTCATCCCACCCTCCACCCAGTCTTTCCAATCCCTCACGGGTCATCCACCACACCGCCTTCCCTTCTGCTGCTCTAGGCCATCTTCTCCCTCCTCTCAGGTCACCTGGTCCATCCCTTCTGCTGCTCTAGGCCATCTTCTCCCTCCTCTCAGGTCACCTGGTCCTTCCCTTCTGCTGCTCTGGGCCATCTTCTCCCTCCTCTCAGGTCACCTGGTCCATCCCTTCTGCTGCTCTGGGCCATCTTCTGTCCATCTCAGGTCACCTGGTCCATCCCTTCTGCTGCTCTGGGCCATCTTCTCGCTCCTCTCAGGTCACCTGGTCCATCCCTTCTGCTGCTCTGACCCATCTTCTCCCTCCTCTCAGATCACCTGGTCCATGCCTTCTGCTGCTCTGGGCCATCTTCTCCCTCCTCTCAGATCACCTGGTCCACCCCTTCTGCTGCTCTGGGCCATCTTCTCCCTCCTCTCAGATCACCTGGTCCATCCCTTCTGCTGCTCTGACCCATCTTCTCCCTCCTCTCAGATCACCTGGTCCATCCCTTCTGCTGCTCTGGGCCATCTTCTCGCTCCTCTCAGGTCACCTGGTCCATCCCTTCTGCTGCTCTGACCCATCTTCTCCCTCCTCTCAGATCACCTGGTCCATCTCTTCTGCTGCTCTGGGCCATCTTCTCCCTCCTCCCAGATCACCTGGTCCGTCCCTTCTGCTGCTCTGACCCATCTTCTTGCTCCTCTCAGATCACCTGGTCCATCCCTTCTGCTGCTCTGACCCATCTTCTCCCTCCTCTCAGATCACCTGGTCCATCCCTTCTGCTGCTCTGGGCCATCTTCTCGCTCCTCTCAGGTCACCTGGTCCATCCCTTCTGCTGCTCTGGGCCATCTTCTCGCTCCTCCCAGATCACCTGGTCCGTCCCTTCTGCTGCTCTGGGCCATCTTCTTGCTCCTCTCAGATCATCTGGTCCATCCCTTCTGCTGCTCTGGGCCATCTTCTCGCTCCTCCCAGATCACCTGGTCCATCCCTTCTGCTGCTCTGGGCCATCTTCTTGCTCCTCTCAGATCACCTGGTCCATCCCTTCTGCTGCTCTGGGCCATCTTCTTGCTCCTCTCAGATCACCTGGTCCACCCCTTCTGCTGCTCTAGGCCATCTTCTCCCTCCTCTCAGATCACCTGGTCCATCCCTTCTGCTGCTCTGGGCCATCTTCTCGCTCCTCCCAGATCACCTGGTCCGTCCCTTCTGCTGCTCTGGGCCATCTTCTTGCTCCTCTCAGATCATCTGGTCCATCCCTTCTGCTGCTCTGGGCCATCTTCTCGCTCCTCCCAGATCACCTGGTCCATCCCTTCTGCTGCTCTGGGCCATCTTCTTGCTCCTCTCAGATCACCTGGTCCATCCCTTCTGCTGCTCTGGGCCATCTTCTTGCTCCTCTCAGATCACCTGGTCCATCCCTTCTGCTGCTCTGGGCCATCTTCTTGCTCCTCTCAGATCATCTGGTCCATCCCTTCTGCTGCTCTGGGCCATCTTCTCGCTCCTCCCAGATCACCTGGTCCATCCCTTCTGCTGCTCTGGGCCATCTTCTTGCTCCTCTCAGATCACCTGGTCCATCCCTTCTGCTGCTCTGGGCCATCTTCTTGCTCCTCTCAGATCATCTGGTCCATCCCTTCTGCTGCTCTGGGCCATCTTCTCGCTCCTCTCAGATCACCTGGTCCATCCCTTCTGCTGCTCTGGGCCATCTTCTTGCTCCTCTCAGATCACCTGGTCCACCCCTTCTGCTGCTCTGAGCCATCTTCTTGCTCCTCTCAGATCATCTGGTCCATCCCTTCTGCTGCTCTGGGCCATCTTCTTGCTCCTCTCAGATCACCTGGTCCATCCCTTCTGCTGCTCTGGGCCATCTTCTTGCTCCTCTCAGATCACCTGGTCCATCCCTTCTGCTGCTCTGGGCCATCTTCTTGCTCCTCTCAGATCACCTGGTCCATCCCTTCTGCTGCTCTGGGCCATCTTCTCGCTCCTCTCAGATCACCTGGTCCATCCCTTCTGCTGCTCTGACCATCTTCTCGCTCCTCTCAGGTCACCTGGTCCATCCCTTCTGCTGCTCTGACCCATCTTCTCCCTCCTCTCAGATCACCTGGTCCACCCCTTCTGCTGCTCTAGGCCATCTTCTCCCTCCTCTCAGATCACCTGGTCCATCCCTTCTGCTGCTCTGGGCCATCTTCTTGCTCCTCTCAGATCATCTGGTCCATCCCTTCTGCTGCTCTGGGCCATCTTCTTGCTCCTCTCAGGTCACCTGGTCCATCCCTTCTGCTGCTCTGGGCCATCTTCTTGCTCCTCTCAGATCATCTGGTCCATCCCTTCTGCTGCTCTGGGCCATCTTCTTGCTCCTCTCAGGTCACCTGGTCCATCCCTTCTGCTGCTCTGAGCCATCTTCTCGCTCCTCTCAGATCACCTGGTCCATCCCTTCTGCTGCTCTGGGCCATCTTCTTGCGCCTCTCTGGAGAATCTAGTCCATTCACATTCCTCTCAAAGGAGGAGACCAAGACTGAGCTCACAGCTCTAGGAATCTGACCCACCCCAAAGATGACACTCCTTCTGTTTCATCCACAGCATCTTCTCTGACTCTTCCAGGCTGTCTGGTCCGCCTCATGTGCCTTAGCCATGCTGTTCCGCCTGGAAAGGCCACACCCTCCGTCCCCACTCTCACCTGAGCCCTCACTCCTGAACCTCACTCGTCACTCGAGCTGCCGTTCTAAAACATGGTCGGTGTAAGTGAACACATGACCCACTCTCCCCACACCCCATGTTCCTTCATTCTAAAACAAAAATATAGTGGCGAGAGTTAAAGCATAGATTTAGAATTAGACAGACCTGGACTTCGATATTTAGCCCAGGTACTTTCTAGCTATCAGCC